CTAGATCAGTGGTCTCCAACCCTTTTATGCACAAGATCACTTTTTGAATTTAAGTGCAACCCAGGATCTACCCCGCCTTTTCCCCGAGGCCCCGCCCAGTTCACTCCATTCCCCCCTCCCTCCGTCGCTTGCTCTCTTCCACCCTCGCTCACTTTCACCAGGCTGGGGCAGGAAGTTGGGGTGTGGGCTCTGGGCTGGGGCCAAGGGGTTCAGAATGTGGGAGGGCGCTTCGGGCTGAGCCTGGGGCAGGGGGTTGGGGTGCAGGAGGGGGTACAGGGTGCTGGCTCCGGGAGGGGGCTCAGGGCTGGGGCAGGAGATTGGGGTGCAGGATGGGCTATGGGGTGCTAGCTCTGGGAGGGGGCTCAGGGCTGGGGCAGGGGTTGGGGTACAAGAGGGGGTACAGAGTGCTGGCTCCAGGAGGGGGCTCAGGGCTAGGGCAGGAGATTGGGGTGCAGGAGGAGGTTTGGGGTGCTGGCTTTGGGAAGGGGCTCAGGGCTGGGGCAGGGGGTTGGGTGAGAGTTCCTGCTGGGTGGTGCTTACAGCGGGCGACTCCCAGTCGGCGGTGCAGCAGGGCTAAAGCATGCTCGCTCCCTGCCTGCCCCAGCCCTGCGCTGCTCCCAGAAGCGGCTGCCAGGTTCCTGTGGCCCCTGGGGGAGGGGGGAGCAGGGGTCTCCATGCACTACCTCTCCCTGCAGGCATTGCCCCTGCAGCTCCCATTGGCCGCAGTTCCCCGTTCCTGACCAATGGGAGCTGCGGGGGCAATGCCTGTAGGGAGGGGTAGAGCTTGGAGACCCCTGCTTCCCCCTCCCCCAGGGGCCGCAGGGACCTGGCGGCTGCTTCTGGGAGCAGTGCGGGGCCAAAGCAGGCAGGGAGGTAGCCCCACTGCACGACCGGACTTTTAGTGGCCAGAGATCGTGATCGACTGTCAGAGGCTCCAGGATCGACCAGTCGATCGCTATATACTGGTTGGTGACCCCTGGTCTAGATAATACTTAGTCCTGCCATGAGTGCAGGGGACTAGACAAGATGACCTCTCAAGGTCCCTTCCAGTCCTATGATTCTATGATTGTGTGTTGTTTGAAGAGGTACTTATGTTTGTTTTAAACTTGCTGTCGATTAATTTCATTGGATTTTGTGTTCTGGGAAGGGGTAAATAACACTTCCCTATTTACTTTCTCTGCACCATTCATGATTTAATAGAGTTCTATCCTATCCTTCCTTAGTCATCTTTTTTTTTTAAATGAACAATCCCAATCTTTTAATCTCTCCTCATGTGAAGCTATTCTATACCCCTAATCATTTTTGTTGACTTTCTGTACCTTTTCCAATTTTAATATATCTTTTTTGAGATGGGGTGATTGGAACTGCACACAGTATTCAAGATGTGGATGTACCATGGATTTATATAGTGGCATTATGATAGCTATTTTCTGTCTATTATCTATCCCTTTCCTATTTGTTCCTAACATTCTGTTAACCTTTTTGACTACTACTGAACATTGAGTAGATGTTTTCAGACAACTATCCCTGATGACTCAAAGATCTTTTTTGAGATAGCAGCTGATTTAGACCCTAACACCTTGTATATATTGTGGGATTATTTTTCCCAATGTGCATTACTTTGCACTTCTAAACATTGTATTTCATCTGTCATTTTGTTGCCCAGTCACCCAGTTTTGAGAGATTCTTTTGTAACAATTTGCAGTCAGCTTTGAACTTAACTATCTTGAGTAATTTTGTATTGTCTGCAAACTTTGCCACCTCACTATTTACCCCTTTTTCCAGATCACTTATGAATATGTTATACAGCACAGAACCAAGTACAGATCTTTGTGGACCTCCCCCATATTTACCTCTTTCCGTTGTGAAAACTGGACCGTTTATTTCTACTTTTTGTTTTCGTATTTTTTAACCAGTTACTGATCCATGAGAGGACCTTCCCTGTTATCCCATGACTTCTTATTTTGCTTTAAGAGCCTTTGGTGTGGGACCTTGTCAAAGGCTTTCTGAAAGTCCAAGTACACTATATCCACTGGATCACCCTTGCCCACATGTTTATTGACCCCCTCAAGAATTCTAATAGGTTGGTGAGACATGGTTTCCATTTACAAAAACTGTTTTGACTCTTCTCTAATGTATCACGTTCATATATTTGTCTGATAATTCTGTTCACTACTGTAGCTTCAACCAATTTGCTTGGTACTGAAGTTAGATTAACTGGCCTGGAAATGCCAGAATCACCTCTAGAATCTTTAAAAAATCAGCATTACATTAGCTATCCCCCAGTCATCTGGTGCAGAATCTGAGTTAAGCAATAAGTTACACACCACAGTTAACAATTCTGCAATTTCATATTTGAGTTCCTTCAGAACTCTTGGGTGAATACCATTTAGTCCTGATGACTTAAATGTATTATTTTGTTCCAAAACTTCTTCTATAGATACCTCTATCTGGGCCAGTTTCTCAGATTTGTCTCCTAAAAAGAATGGCTTAGGTGTGGGAATCTCCCTCATATCCTCTGCAGTGAAGACCAATGCAAACAATTCACTGAGCTTCTCTGCAATGGTCTTGTCTTCCTTGAGTGCTCCTTTAGTACCTTGATTGTCTAGTGGCCCCGCTGATTGTTTGGCAGGTTTCCTGCTTCTGATGTACTTAATTTTTTTTTTTGCTATTAGTTTGTATGTCTTTTGCTAGTTGCTCTTCAAATTCTTTGTTGGCCTGCATGATTATATTTGTACATTTGATTTCCCAGAGTTTATGCTCCTTTCTGTTTTCCTCTGTGGGTTTTTACTTCCAGTTTTTAAAGGATGCCTTTATGCCTCTAACCACTTCTTTTATTCTGGTATTTAGCCATGGGGGCATTTTTTTTAGTCCTTACTTTAAAAAAAAAATTGGGGTATATGTCTGAGCCTCTGTTATGGTGTTTTTAAATAGTTTCCATGCAGCTTGCAGGCACTTCACTCCTGTGACTGTTCCTTTTAATCTCCATTTAACTAGCTTTCTTATTTTTGTGTGGTTCTCTTTTAACTTAAAAAAAATGCTACTATGGTAGGTTTCTTTGGTATTTTTCCCACTGTAAGGATGTACATTTAATTACATTATGGTCGCTATTACCAAGTGGTTCTGTTATTTTCTCCTCTTGGACCAGATCCTGTGTTCCCATGAGGACTAAATCAAGACTGGCCTCTCCCCTTGTGGGTTCCAGGAGTAGCTGCTTCGAGAAGCAGTCATTAATGGTGTCTAGAAATTTTATTATTGCATCCCATCCGAAGGTGACATATACCCAGTCAATACAGAAATAGTTCAAATCCCATTATTCCTGGGTTTTCTGTTTTTGTAGCCTCTCTGGTCTCCCTGATTTCGCAATCACTGTCACTATCCTGGTCAGGTGATTAGTAGTATATTCCTACTGCTATACTTTTATTATTGTAGCATGGAATTTTTATCCATAGAGATTCTATGGTACAGTTTAATTCATTTAAGACTTTTTACTATATTTGACTCGCTGCTTTCTTTCACAAATATTGCCACTCCCCCACCAGAGCGACTTGCTGTGTCATTCCTGTATATTTTGTATCTGGTATTACTGTGTCCTATTGATTATCATTGTTTCACCATATTAAAGTCTGCATATTAAAGTGAAATGGCTTAATAGCTTCCATCAACACGTATTTATATTTGTAGAATCATAGAAATATAGGGCTGGAAGAGACCTCGAGAAGTCATCAAGTCCAGCCCCTTGTGCTGAGGCAGGACCAAATAAACCTAGACCATCCCTGACAGGCATTTGCCTAACCTGTTCTTAGAAACCTCCAATCATAGGGATTCCACAACCTCCCTTGGAAGCCTATTCCGGTGCTTAACTTTTGTAGTTAGAAAGTCACCCCCCCCCCCCCAATATCTAACCTAAATTTCACTTACTGCAGATTAAGTCCATTGCTTCTTGTCCTACCGTTAGTGGACATGGAGAACAATTGATCACCATCCTCATTATAACAGCCCTTAACACATTTGAAGACAGTTATCAGGTCGCCCCTCAGTTGTCTTTTCTCAAGACTAAATGTGCCCAGGGTTTTTTAACCTTTCCTCATAGGTCAGTTAATCTAAACCTTTTGTCATTTTTTGTTGCTCTCCCCTGGACTCTCTCTAGTTTGTCTACATCTTTCCTTAAGTGTGGCAGTCAGAACTGGAGATGGTAATCCAGCTGAGGCCTTGCCAGTGCTGAGTAGAGCAGGACAATTACCTCCCTTGTTTTACATACGACACTCTTGTTAATACACCCCAGAACGTTATTCACTTTTTTGCACAACTGTGTCACATTGCTGACTCATATTCAATTTGTGATCCATTATAACCCCCAGATCCTTTTCAGCAGTACTGACACCTAGCCAGATATTCCCCATTTTGCAGTTGTGCATTTGGTATTTTTCTTCTTAAGTGAAATGTTTTGCACTTATCTTTTATTGAAATTAATCTTGTTGAATTCAGACCAATTCTCCATTTTGTCAGGGTCATTTTGAATTTTAATCCTGTTCTCTAGAGTGCTGTAACACTCCCCAGCTTGATGTCATCTGCAAATTTTATAAGCATACTCTCCACTCCATTATGCAAATCATTAATGAAAATATTGAATAGTACCAGACCCAGAACTGCCCCCTGCAGGACCCTACTAGTTCTGCCCTCCCAGTTTGATAGCGAATCATGGATAACAACTTTTTGAATATGATCTTTCGATCAGTTGTGCACCCACTGGATAGTAATTTCATCTATACTGCATTTCCCTACTTTGCTTTTGAGAATGTCAGGTGGCACTGTGTCAAAAGCCTTACTAAAATCAAGATGTATCACATCTACAGCTTGTCCCTTATCTACTGGACCAGTAATCCTGTCATTACAAATATCTAATCTAATGTCAAATTTAAAATATAATATGCATAGGGTTTGATTTTATGCTTCATATAAGGCTGGAATACTAACTCCAATTTTTTTATTTTCTTCAGACTTGGTTCCTTCAATTATGAGTAATTTGCTGAATCCAGATGCTATTTTTACCAACAATGAAATGAGTCTATCAGACATTGAAATCTATGGCTTTGATTATGACTACACATTGGTCTTTTATTCCAAACATCTGCACACTTTGATCTATAATGCTGCCCGAGATCTTCTCATTAATGAGCATCGGGTAAGATGAATGAAATAACAGCATGCACCTGTATTTGTATGAATGCTATGAGCAACTTCTAGTTGAGAGAAGCTTTGTACGTCTCCTAATGGCTTGGTCCCCAGTTGGCTCTCTTTTGGTACATCTTGTGCAGCAGCTGCTTACAGACCACAAAGTTCCTCGTTCAGTGTCAGCTGCAGTAAAGTGCAGAGAGGAGACAGTCCAGGAACTGGAAGGACTACTCCGTTCTTGTATCTGTCAGTCAGTTAGCAGAGACATCTTGCAGGTATGAGGATACTTAAGTTGGCTGTATTTTAAGCAGAATTCACTTACTGCACTGTTATGAATGCAATTATTATTAGTGTCCATTTGGAATATTTTACAAACCCTAACCTGGACTGAATGGACATTGTAGCATTGGGCATTTCCATTCCTGTATTTCAGTCCAAAGGTTAACAGCTATACATAAATGTCTATAAATATCTCTGGATTAACAAACAAACTTAAAACTTCATAGGTACCATAAACACACAAAACGTAGCGCCCCTAAAATTCTGCAACATTTTGGTTGAAACTTCTGCAGCATAACTTAGCAAATTGTATTCGGTGTCGTTTTCGTAATAGAAACTGACACATTGCAGTAGCAGTGGGGTTGCATGCTTGTAGTAGTAGCTTGAAATTGGAAACTAGTCTCCTATGGGTAACGGTAATCACTTACAATATGATGTAATGCTTGAAGCCACCTGTTGGGAGATATAGTTTCCCATAGGAATATATTTTTTCAACCCAAGGGAAAACAACTCTCTCTAACTCCAGTCTCTCTCTAGCTGCATTTTTATTGACCTCTATGTACTGTAGCATCAGAATTACCCTGCAGGTGAAGCTTTTAGGTGACAGAGGCCATATCATCCTATCTCAGTCAATTTAAAAGATGGCTCATTTTTGTCACTAAAATGTAATCTGGCTAGGATAAATAAATAAATGAAAATCCTGATGTAGGCAGCATGGAATCTGGAAATATATTTAAAAGTAAACATCAAATGAATAGATATTACCCCTGGAATAATCAACTTTACTAAATTTTTGATTAATATATATATTAATCAAATCCAATCTAAATTAACGATCCAGATAAGATTTCACAAGGGGTGAAACCTTGGAATCAGGCCACTTATCTGAGTGTCTTTAGCTCTAATGCTTCAAGTCAAACTTTTGTTTTGATATATTGGCCTGTTGCTGCATAATGAACTGTATGTGAACCTTTCATGCTAAGGGCAATAAGAAAGCCCAAGTTTTTAATTTTAGAAAGGTTTTGAAAATTTGGGCCAAAACTTTTGAGCACAGGTGTCTAAAGGTATTTGTTTTTCTTTAGTCCAATTTTCAGAGGTGACGAATACATAGAAATGTCACAGAAGCTAGTGGGTGCTGCATGTGCTTATCCTCTGTGCAAATTGGGCCACTTTTCCTTAGATGCCTAACTTTAGTCACTCACATTTGAAGATTTGAGTCATAGATTTTTTTTTTCCAGGTGTTCTTCCCATTCTTGTATGTGAGTTGTAGATACTTTCACGTGTACATCACCAGCATGTTGAAGGGCGTACTTGAGTGAATGCTAAAAGTGACATATGGGAAGTTTAAGCTTTTTAGAATTTGGAAAAAGAAATTTATTGGGGTGTGTAAATAGTTTAAATTAACCCTCACTTTTTATTCTTAGTATCCCGCAGAAATAAGGAAGTATGATTATGACCCCAATTTTGCAATAAGAGGACTTCATTATGATGTACATCGGGTAGGTATAAATGATGTGGTGAGTTACGTGGCGCTGAATACATAGATTATGAACATAAATATTGCATTTTATAAATGTCATCAAAGGTTTTACCTTGTGCTGACATGTAGGCCCTTGGTTCTTTTTTTTCCTTATGTTTGTGACAGCTTGAATTGTTTTAAAGAGCGGTTTCGTCAAGGCTTTTATGACAAATCAAGTTGGAAGAGAATAAACACAAATATGCCAGTATTGTTAGGGGAAGTTATTTCTTCATGATTGTAATCCCATGTCATCTGAATAATACAGTTTCTAGTGGTTTTTACAAGCTCTGAATAAAATCCTTTGACAAAATACTCTGCTGCTCTTTACAAAGAATTTCTAATTGAAATTCTTGTAAAATTCATCCATATCTGAGCAATAAAGTCTTACTCCTTGTGACAGATAAAATGGTTATAGCTTTTATAACTGTATATAAGACTGCTTTTATGAAATGTAAATTGTCTGAAATTTTTGTTTTTGTTCAAGGCATTATTGATGAAGATTGATGCTTTTCACTATATTCAATTGGGAACAGTATACAGGTAGGTGGAATTATTGCTTAGTTGATATAAAACACACTCCTGTTTTCTGAATCCACTGGATGCTCCTCTGAAAGCACATTGAAGAGTCAGGCCAGTAGCAATGTAGTACAGTGTATATCGTGTAGTCGTCTACTGGAAGGCATGGACACAGGTGTGCTCTTTACTGGCTGAACTAGAAGAAGGGATTCTCTATGGAGAGCTGGCTGGTCATACGGTGCTGACTCAGCACCTTGTCCCCAGCTGCTAACTTTCATTAAAAAACAGCTAAAAATACACTCAATGCTTCTACAGTGTTAGATTTCTATGTGAGTTTTTGCCGCAGGGACACTGCAATCTCAAATGAGGAGGGAGAGATGCTCCTTGAGATTCTCTCTATTATGATATGGGTATTCCCACAAAAAAGTTAACATTATGTACCTACAGTAGCATAGGGAAAAATGCATTGTATTTGGAATGTGTACCATCAAATGTTCCCTTTAAGAAAAATCTATAGATGTTAGGTCATATTCCAGCTTCAGAACTTCCCTCTGTGTATGTTTTTTTTGTGCCAGTTAACAATATACTTGGTAGGTAGATCATTATAGTACTTTTACTAGATAATCTGTTCCAGAAGCTGCCAGGGGAAGACAGGGGTGGATCATTCCAACTGCCCCGTCCTGTACACTCCCCCTGAAACTCCATTACTGGCCTTCTGTTGGAGAAGGCTGCTGGGCTAGATGGACTGTTGATTTGGCTCAGTATGGCAGTTCTTACGTTCTATTATGGTAGAGTCTCTCGTATATATGAGAAAATAGAAGATGGTGTGTGTGATATAAAGGTTTTAATGCAGCCATCATGTTGATACTTGAAGTATCAAATCAATGTGTGTTATAAGTTATTAGAGTACCACTAAACCTTCTAATCACCTCCTCATGTGTTCTGATATGCAACACATCAGGTCCTCAGAGTCTATCTTGCGGTGCCTTCTATAACTGCAGCTTCCCACTTGGAAGCTGGGAAACTCCTCTCTACAGAGGTATATAAATAAAAACCAGAACCTTCAGTTCCGAAAAGAAAGACTTTTATACAATGAATTTAAGGCCGGGTTTTCAGGCTCCCAAATCTATTCCAGCAGTACAATGGGATAACAACAGATCTTAGTCATAACACTTCTGTGTACAGAAAAAACGCACATGCCCAGGATCTTGCTTATTCTTATAGTCCTGGGCTGGTGTACTTCTAGGGAGAGAAGGAGGAGATGTGTTTGACAGGTTGATTTTATTTTATTTTATATTTTTAAAAAGGCAGCTGTATGAAGCTTTCCATAGGTTTGGAATATTGAAGTAAATGCTAGCTGGCTGGATTAGAGGATAGGTGAAGTGGTTAAAGGTGCATCATGATTTCATTTATCACATAGCTGTGCAGTATATCGCCTTCTCACACACAGTTTGCATATTTATATAAATCAGTAGGTGTACTCAGAGTTAGGCATGCCCTTGCCATCTTTTAGCCTTGTCTGCATGAAGATTTCCTGCAGTCCTTACACTGGTGCCATTCCACCAATGCTTACTGTAACTGTACTATAGTACACCAGCAGGAGTGTAGGCCAGCTATGGTGTTCTGTCTATCATGCCATGTAGCTTTACTCTGAACAGAGTAAAAGAAACCCCATATGTACACAGCTGACCTGCCAACTACGGTGATAAAATAGATCCATTGGCAAAGCTGATGTTAAACTTTTCTTCCACGCTCATAATTGAGCACACTCCTCCATACTGTCTCAAAAATGGTATAAATAGTACCTCTGAACATGCACTTAACAAATATTTACTGTCTACAGGTAGGCTTGTTATTAAATAAGTATATCATGATTCACAAAAGGTCTGTTTTGCGATACTCCAATAATATTTGGCAGACTTGTCTGGAAGTTAGACAGAATTCATGATTCATGTTCTTGGATCTGTTACTGACACATTATTTGCCTAAGGTGTAATACAACTTCTTTGTTTCTGTTTGATTAGCCATACTGTAAAATGGATGATGATAAAGAATACTTCACATTTCTTATAGTACTTTCTATCTGGAGTACTCTTAGAATCTCAAGTTGCTTTTTAAAAACTAATATTTATGCCTCACGACACCTGTAAAGCAGGTAAGATGAGGAATCTGAGGTGCAGAATTCACCTGATTTACATCAGGTACTACAAGAAATCTGTGGCAGATCCAGAAATCCAGATGTCCTGATTTTCATTCCCATTTTTTAACCACAAGACTATCTTTTCTCACTAGTTCTTCCTATGGGGAGGGGGGTATGTGTTGTAAGTTTACTAATATTTCTGAAGTACTCTGAGGGTATGTCTACACTACGAAATTAGGTCGAATTTATAGAAGTCGGGTGTTTAGAAATTGTTTTTATAAGGTCGATTGTGTGTGTCCCCACACAAAATGCTCTAAGTGCATTAAGTCGGCGGACTGCGTCCACAGTACCGAGGCTAGCGTCGACTTCCGGAGCGTTGCACTATGGTAGCTATCCCACAGTTCCCGCAGTCTCTGCCGCCCATTGGAATTCTGGGTTGAGATCCCAATGCCTGATGGGGCAAAAACAGTGTCCCGGGTGATTCTGGGTACATGTCATCAGGCCCCACCCTCCCTCCCTCCTTGCCGTGAAAGCAACGGCAGACAATCGTTTCGCACTTTTTTCAGCCCAGACGCCATAGCACTGGGATCATGGAGCCCGCTCAGATCACCGTGGCAATTATGAGCACTTTAAACACCACACACATTATCCTGGAGTATATGCAGGACCAGAACCTGCCAAGGCAAAACCAGGCGAGGAGGCGACGGCAGCGCAGCAACGAGAGTGATGAGGAAATAGACATGGACATAGACCTCTCACAAAGTACGGGCCCCAGCAATGTGCAAATCATGGTGTTAATGGGGCAGGTTCATGCTGTGGAACGCCGATTCTGGACCAGGGAAACAAGCACAGACTGGTGGGACAGCTTAGTGTTGCAGGTGTGGGATGATTCCCAGTGGCTGCGAAACTTTCGCATGCGTAAGGGCACTTTCATGGAACTTTGTGAGTTGCTTTCCCCTGCCCTGAAGCGCCAGAATACCAAGATGAGAGCAGCCCTCGCATTTGAGAAGCGAGTGGCGATAGCCCTGTGGAAGCTTGCAACGCCAGACAGCTACCGGTCAGTCGGGAATCAATTTGGAATGGGCAAATCTACTGTGGGGGCTGCTGTGATCCAAGTAGCCAACGCAATCAAAGAGCTGCTGGTATCAAGGGTAGTGACTCTGGGAAACATGCAGGTCATAGTGGATGGCTTTGCTGCAATAGGATTCCCTAACTGTGGTGAGGCGATAGACGGAACCCATATCCCTATCTTGGCACCGGAGCACCAAGTCAGCGAGTACATAAACCGCAAGGCGTACTTTTCAATGGTGCTGCAAGCACTGGTGGATCACAAGGGACGTTTCACTAACATCAACGTGGGATGGCCGGGAAAGGTATATGATGCTCGTGTCTTCAGGAACTCTGGTCTGTTTCAAAAGCTGCAGGAAGGGATTTTCTTCCCAGACCAGAAAATAACCGTTGGGGATGTTGAAATGCCTATAGTTATCCTTGGGGACCCAGCCTACCCATTAATGCCATGGCTCATGAAGCCAGACACAGGCAGCCTGGACAGTAGTCAGGACCTGTTCAACTATAGGCTGAGCAAGTGCAGAATAGTGGTAGAATGTGCATTTGGATGTTTAAAAGCACGCTGGCGCAGTTTACTGACTCGGATAGACCTCAGCGAAACCAATATTCCCATTGTTATTACTGCTTGCTGTGCGCTCCACAATATCTGTGAGAGTAAGGGGGAGACATTTATGGCGGGGTGGGAGGTTGAGGCAAATCGCCTGGCCGCTGATTACACGCAGTCAGACACCAGGGCGGTTAGAAGAGCACAGCAGGGTGCGGTGCGCATCAGAGAAGCTTTGAAAACCAGTTTCATGACTGGCCAGGCTATGGTGTGAAAGTTCTGTTTTTGTTTCTCCTTGATGACCCCCCCCACCCCCGGTTCACTCTACTTCCCTGTAAGCTAACCACCCTCCCCTCCCCCCTTCGAGCACCGCTTGCAGAGGCAATAAAGTCATTGTTACTTCACATTCATGCATTCTTTATTAATTCATCACACAAATAGGGGGATAACTGCCAAGGTAGCCCAGGAGGGGTGGAGGAGGAGGGAAGTGCAGGGTGGGGTGGGGGAGGAGATAAGGACAAGGACACACTGCACTTTAAAACTTATTGAAAGCCAGCCTTCTGTTGCTTGGGCAATCCTCTGGGGTGGAGTGGCTAGGAGGCCAGTTGCCCCCCCACCGCGTTCTTGGGCATCTGGGTGAGGAGGCAATGGAACTTGGGGAGGAGGGCTGTTGGTTACACAGGGGCTGTAGCAGCGGTCTGTGCTCCTGCTGCCTTTCCTGCAGCTCAGCCATACGCTGGAGCATATCAGTTTGATGCTCCAGCAGCCGGAGCATCGACTATTGCCTTCTGTCAGCAAGCTGACGCCACCTATCCTCTTCAGCCTGCCACTTGCTCTCTTCAGCCCGCCACTTCTCCTCGCATTCATATTGTGCTTTTCTGCACTCTGACATTGTCTGCCTCCACACATTCTGCTGTGCTCTGTCAGCGTGGGAAGACATCTGGAGCTCCGAGAACATGTCATCCCGATTGCGCCTTTTTCGCCTTCTAATCTTCACTAGCCTCTGCGAAGGAGAAACATTTGCAGCTGATGGAGGAGAAGGGAGAGGTGGTAGTTAAAAAGACACATTTTAGAGAACAATGGGTACACTCTTTCACGTTAAATTTTGCTGTTCACATTACACAGCACATGTGCTTTCGTTACAAGGTCGCATTTTTCCTCTTATATTGAGGGCCTGCCGGTTTGGTGTGAGAGATCACTCACGCAGTGCCAGGCAACAGAATTCGGCTTGCAGGCAGCCATGGTAAGACACGGTCTTTTGGCTTTTTTAACCTTCTTAACATGTGGGAATGGTTTCAAACAGCAGCGCCCTCATTTCCCATGCCAAGCGGCCGTTGGGTTGGCCATTTAAAATGGGTTAGCAATTTAAAAGGAGGGGTTGTGGTTTCCAGGTTAACATGCAGCACAAACCCAACTAACCCCCCTCCCCTCCCCCCCACACCCAATTCTCTGGGATGATCACTAACAGCGGGGAACATTTCTGTTCAGCAGAGCAGGAACAGGCACCTCTGAACATCCCCTTAATAAAATCACCCTATTTCAACCAGGTGACCGTGAATGATATCACTCTCCTGAGGATAACAAAGAGAGATAAGGAATGGATGTTGTCTGATGCCAGCAAACACCGGGACCATACGCTGCCATGCTTTGTTATGCAATGATTCCAGACTATGTGCTACTGGCCTGGCATGGTAAAGTGTCCTACCATGGAGGACGGAATAAGGCAGCCCTCCCCAGAAACCTTTTGCAAAGGCTTTGGGAGTACATCAAGGAGAGCTTTCTGGAGATGTCCCTGGAGGATTTCCGCTCCATCCCCATACACATTAACAGACTTTTCCAGTAGCTGTACTGGCCGCGAATGCCAGGGCAAATTAATCATTAAACACGCTTGCTTTTAAACCATGTGTTATATTTACAAAGGTACACTCACCAGAGGTGCCTTGTGTGCCCTCAGGGTCTGGGAGCACGCCTTGGGTGGGTTCGGGGGTTACTGGTTCCAGGTCCAGGGTGAAAAATGTATCCTGGCTGTTGGGGAAACCGGTTTCTCCGCTTCCTTGCTGTGAGCTATCTTCAATGTCTTCATCATCATCTTCCTTGTCCCCAAAACCCGCTTCCGTGTTTCGTGATTCTCCATTGACGGAGTCAAAGCACAGGGTTGGGGTAGTGGTGGCTGCATCCCCTAGCATGGCATGAAGCTCAGCGTAGAAGCGGCATGTTTGCGGCTCTGCCCCAGACCTTCCGTTTGCCTCTCTGGTTTTGTGGTAGGCTTGCCTTAGCTTCTTAATTTTCACGCGGCACTGCTGTGCTTCCCTGTTATGGCCTCTGTCCTTCATGCCCTTTGAGACTAGACTTTTTCTAATGTTTTGGCATTTCGTTTACTGCTACGGAGTTCAGCTAGCACTGATTCGTCTCCCCATATGGCGAGCAGATCCCGTACCTCCCGTTCGGTCCATGCTGGAGCTCTTTTGTGATCCTGGGACTCCATCATGGTTACCTCTACTGATGAGCTCTGCGTGTTCACCTGGGCTCTCCACCATGCTGGGCAAACAGGAAATTCAAAATTTCGCGGGCCTTTTCCTGTCTATCTGGCCAGTGCATCTGAGTTGAGAGTGCTGTCCAGAGCGGTCACAATGGAGCACTCTGGAATAGCTCCCGGAGGCCAATACCGTCGAATTGCGTCCCCACTACCCCAAATCCGACCCGGAAAAGCCGGTTTCAGCGCTAATCCCCTCGTCGGAGGTGGATTAAAGAAATCGATTTAAAGAGCCCTTTAAGTCGAAAAAAAGGGCTTCGTCATGTGGACGGGTCCAGGCTTAAATCGAGGTAACGCTGCTAAATTCGACCTAAAATCGTAGTGTAGACCAGGCCTGAGATACTCAGTAAAAGGTGTTCAATACTGTAAGTGGTGGTGGTGGTGGGGAAATAGCTATCTAATGGCTGGTACAAATATAGACCTCCTTTTCCCCTCTGTATTATGATTTCGTTTCTAACATGTTTGTCACAGTTCCTTAATTATAATTTCAACTCAATGAGACTTAACTATATTAGGGTTAAAAAGAAATCTGGTTATTGCCTCAGTTAAGAAGGTTGCATTTTTTGGCCTCTATCCTTCAAGGTCACACTGCAGAATAATCTGGTTAAACACTATTGCATCATCTGTGCCTCGTGAAACAAAAGCAGAGAGGGAATTACATTTTATTGAGAAACTAGAAGCTGTAACTGCACTTTACAAGCCTTGGAGGCAAAGTTTTAATGGAGACTAATTAATTCACTTTTTTGAAGAAATAAAAAACTTTAAAAGCTGGAATGTGTTTCATGTGTGTCAGTTTGTTGAAATGCTACTTGTTTTGGAAGTTAGCAAGACGGTCTTTCTTAAATTGCAGACCAAGGTGTTTCTTATGGGAAACCATGGGATCGTATGATAGTAGTGGTATTTTAAGAAGTTCAAGAACTGAGTTTGTATATGTAGTCAGGCTGTCATACAATAATTACCTGAAATTTCTGGTTGGACTTTTAAACTGAAACTAATATTGCTATTGCCAGAGGCCTCAGTGTCGTCCCAGATGAAGAAGTCATTGCAATGTATGATGGTTCCCATGTCCCCTTGGAACAAATGAGTGACTTTTATGGAAAGGTAAAAACCCAAACTACTTCTGTTTAAAACTTACTAACTGAAACCCCATATGTGCCACTGACTTGTTTCATATTTTCAAAATGTTCCTGCTAATATTTGTTACATTTGTGCTTAGGGGCCCCGTTGTACTAGGTGCTGTACAAACACATTGTAAGAGACAATCCCTGCCTTGAAGAGTTCACAATTGAAATAGACCAGACAAAGAGAGGGAGAAAAGTTTATCGCCCTCATGGGGACTAGAGGCCTAGAAAGATTAAGTCACTTATCAAGTGTCTCACAGGAAGTCTGTGGCAATGCTGTAAAAACCCCAGATCTTTTGAGTCCTCATCCAGTACTTTAACTGCAAGACCATCCTTCTTCCTGGTTGGCACGAAAGTTTAGCTCATGGTACATCTGACTGCACCATAGACTTGTTTGCTAGAAAGGTTGGGATGGGGCCACCAAAAAGACATTGCCAAGAGGAAGCTTTCAGTTAGAATTTTACTATGTGAGGAGGGTGGTGCCCTCTATGGTGGGTCTATCACCTTCCTGTTTGGCACCAAGCCACTGTGCCTTCCTTCAGCCAAGAAGGGATGTGTTTGACTCCTTTGGGCGCCTATGAGTGTTACCCCTAAATCAACCAGAAAGCTCTCTAGAGCAGTGCGAGGTACTTCTCCCCCAACTCCTGGTGCTGAGTATTCTTCCTCTGTGTTCCCATTTGTTCTCAGCCCAAAGAATTTAAAAACTAGACTCTCTCAAATCTGGTCCCTTGCGTGGTAGTGTAGAGGCAGGTCCTGAATGTTTTGTTTTACATCCTTCATAGCATTGTAGTCTCAAAGGAGCTGTTCATTCTTCTGGGCTTAGCCTCCATACAACCCCAAGCAAAACATACCCATTTGCTCTCCGTGTGTGGCCCTTTTGGGAGCGGTTGGGTTTATTTACTTCTCTATTATGTTTTCTCAAATGTTGGGAAATTTAAAATGGTGTTTAGCTTTTATGTCCTGGAAGAATTTATGTTCCTGGTTTTGTGGTTACAAAACCTTTATTGCTTTTTACCACTTCTCTTCAATAACCACTTGAAGGAAGCAAAATATTTTGAGTCTTATGGCTGGTCTGCACTGAAAACTTACATCAGCATAGCTACCTCTCTCAGGGAGGTGAATAATCCAGGCCCCTCAAGAGACATAGCTAAGCCAACTCAACCACCGGTGTAGACATTGCTAGGCTGATGGAAGAATTCTTCCATTCATCTTGCTACTGCCTCTTGGGGAGGTGGATTAACTACAGTGATGGGAAAATACTTCCTGTTGTTGTAGTGAGTATCTACACTTAAAACACTATGGCACTGTAAAAAGAACAGGAGTATTTGTGGCACCTTAGAGACTAACCAATTTATTAGAGCATAAGCTTTCGTGGGCTACAGCCCACTTCTTCGGATGCAGCCCACGAAAGCTTATGCTCTAATAAATTTGTTAGTCCCTAAGGTGCCACAAGTACTCCTGTTCTTTTTGCGGATACAGACTAACACGGCTGCTACTCTGAAATATGGCACTGTAGGTGCAGTACTACAACTGTGCTGCTGTAGTGTTTTAAGTGTAGACATAACCTAAGCCTGTATAAACAGGTTCCTTAGTCGTCTTTAGCCTATGCAATAAATAGGAGAAGCAGACTGCAAAATTCTAGACAAAGGGTTCTGGGAGATTTCACATGATATCATTATTTAAACACATAGCTTGTAAAAATGTGGTGGTAATCCTAGATGGAATTACTGGTCCTTAAATTAAAAGCAGAATGCTTCTAACTTTATCATATTGATGTGTGGGTTTTCCCTTTTATTACTGCAAACAGAATTCTGCAGCAATAAAATGCCAATAGCAAAAAAAATAAAAATTTGGCAATGAATCCAAGATGTTAGATTTATAAGATTTAGTTTTGGTAAATATTTCTGACATGCATGTCCTTATTTGCAGAGTTCACATGGAAAAACAATGAAGCAGTTCATGGATATATTTTCATTACCAGAGATGACTCTCCTCTCTTGTGTGAATGAATATTTTCTGAAAAACAACATAGATTATGAACCTGTTCATTTGTACAAAGATGTCAAGGTACGAATGAGATGTACAGGCACCTACATAATTATGCCTTTCTTTTATGACAACTCAAAGAAGTTTCAACCCCCTTTGGTTCTGCTTTACAGAACTAGAAAAAAAAATCTCAGCTTGTTACGGAGCTCCAGTTTCTTACAGAACAGTGCATTGCAATAAGAACTGCAAAAAGCTATGAAAAAGATGGTAGACCTTGAAAATCCTTAACTTGAAATCTTTTTGAAACCTTTTTTATTAAAATTCTAGTATATTTTTTGGGGGTGGGGGTGGGTTTGTGTATGTCTGTTGATCTGGGTTGAGAGGAGAATGGGAAAGGGTATAGAAATAAGACTCACTTCCATGTGAAAAATATTTGGCTGGATCAGCATGTGAAGCTATGCTATTAGATATTCCCTGCCAGCAAGGAACAGAAGGGCCATTAGGAACTCAGTTTAAAGTGTCCATGTATGTTTCCTCGATTTTATTTTTTTATTTTTTTTTGGGTGCGTGTCCTCAGGCAGCAAAAAGTTGAGCAACTCAACTCTCCTGACTCCTAGTGAGGTATCTAAAAACTTAATTTTGAAAGAGGAAAAGAGAAATGTCATGATGTAATGTAGGACCTGAAAAAAAGTCCTGGGCATCTCCTGTCTGGAACAGCCTGATGATGATTCTGCCATCTCTAGCCCACTTAAATTTTAAAATATAAAAAAGTTAGGTTTTTTTGTTTTTAAACACTACTTTTCTTGTATCTAGTCCAGTATTACAATTCTAAGGTAAAAACCTCCAGCTGTGATGTTGTGCCATGTTTGTGTGCATTCTGTCACCTTTCTCCATTAGACAAGAAACATTTTTTAACAAACTCTTTAGCTCACACGTAATTCTTTTGACATTGTCGGGCTTCCATCTTTTTTGAGAAGTTCTGAAGGTTTCCCAAAGCTCCAGTTTTTTTTCTCTAGCTTCTGCCTTAGTATAAATAGATAAATCTTTGCTTTATCTCCCTTCTAAAAATATTTTAGATAGCCCATAGTGTTATCTAAGTCCTGGTGTGTAGCCACACCAGTAACAAAATGGCAGTAATACTGTTCCACCAGGGAGGCTCTGGCATAGCTCAAGCTGAGGAAAGCAGCCAAAATCCTTCTGAGTTCTTTTTTGTTTCTTTGTTTAAACTTTTAGCTTCTTTCATCTACTCATAAATCTCTCTCATTAAATGACAAGCTAGTTGGGAGTGATCTTAATTTGAGGCACTCTAAGACTTCAGTTTCCTCAGGAGGAAAGGAATGTGTGTCACTCTGAAGGTCAACAAAAATCTGTTCTGACTCGCACTCCATTAAGGGCCTTAGGCCCCCATTACCCTGAAGAGTGCTATATTGCAATCCTCACTTACGTAAAGCTTCTGTTGCACTAAGTTTCAAACTTCTGGGAAGTATGAAAATGATCCTATCTTGGAGTATAATTTTATTCTTAGCGTAGTAGTGACGTGCAAATAGTGAAGATAACATGGTAACATTGTTTTTAGGGGAAATAAAGATCATAGATCAGATAAATTAATTGCTATTAAAGCAACATACAGACATTGTCATAAAGACTCTTTATGAGTGCTGTATCGATCTTTGACAGGATTCAATCAGAGATGTCCACATCAAAGGAATAATGTACAGAGCAATTGAAGCAGATATTGGTAAGTAGTAGTGAGATTACATGTAGGGATTACTCTTGTCTCCATAATTTTACTGTTTCTTTCTCGCTTTCTTATAATACTTAAAAATCCTAGGTGGGGGGAGGATATTTTCAGCTTCACATGTCTCCCTTGGATTTTCTTCATTAAATATGACCTGCGATTATCAAAAGTTCTGGACCGTTTTCTAGTGAAAGTAGCAAAGTATTGATGTTCAACATGATATTAAAATTAATATTTTTCCTAGATAAGTACATCTGCTATGCTGAGCAGACCCGTGCAGTGTTAGGAAAGCTGGCTGATCATGGCAAGAAGTTATTTCTCATCACAAACAGTCCCAGTAGCTTTGTGTAAGTTTACTGCCATTTATTGCTAAACTATACTTCTAAAACTTTAAAAATCAAGGTAGTTTATTGTTTTGTCAATGTAAGTTCACCGCTGTCCTATTTCATTGTTAATGCTGTTGTGCTTTCTGTAGGGACAAAGGTATGAAGTTCATCGTTGGAAAGGACTGGAGGGATCTCTTTGATGTAGTCATTGTACAGGCTGACAAGCCAAATTTCTTCAATGATAAGAGAAGGTGGGTATTTGCTAATACACCATGGCTCAAGGGATTTACTCTGTGTAAGGTTATGTAACACATTATGAAACATTGTAAATTATCTGTATGTAATACAATTGTATTTTTATATTTGAAACCCTGTTTATACCATCATGAGCTAATGCAGGATTACAAAACCCTGGAGCCTGAATTGGTAGCTGATCGTTTAGGGAGTAGTTAGTTCCAGTATCTACTACAGGGCTGCTGGACTGAGTAAGGGCTGCAGGACTGTTCTGTTATCGCCCGATATTGCAGTGTGTTTGAGTGCTCTCACTTTCCAAGTCCAAATGGCTCAGCACCTTACAGGATCAGGCCTTGAGTTTGGAGATGTTCTTACTGATCTCTCTTGCATTAGGTGAGAGGCATTAAAGAGCAAACTGATTTGGCTGGAGTCCCTGGACAGCCTCTTACTGAAGTAAACAATTTAGAATGTGCCGTTTATATACAGATGTACTTGCTTGTCTTTTAAAAAGACTAATTCCTTTATACTTTTGTATAGTTTGGAGGGATTTTCTGCCCTCGCTGTGATGGTTTTTTAACTATTCTGTTCCTCTTAATAAAAAACAAAATAAAATAGTACGCTGGTAAAGGAACTAGTTCCAGATATTCCCTTTGCTTTGTATGTATAAAACAAGGTATCTTGCCCATCTTTCATTCTTCATTTTTATTCTCTTCCCACCTCAACCTGGTTTACCAGTAGCATAGCGCCGTCCCTCTGAGCAGGCAGGCTGATTTTGTGCCTTAACTCTGGATGCTCATAAATTTTAGATGAAAGCAAACAAGAGTTAATGTTTTACTGAGCAACTTTTCTTAAACTTTGGTATATCAAAGTCAATCTAGTATATTGGCTGCATCAGGCTAAAGCTAAAGGTTAGAGACTTGGTTTTGAGAGAGTTAGGAGACTCTGTTCATTATACACCAATTTTTTTAACAATTGGGTGTTATTCGTATTCTCTTCCCCCCCCGCCCCAACTTTAAAAAGTAGCAGCCTTGCTGTGACAGAGTGACAATTCTATACAATTCTGCTGTTTTAGACCTTTTCGGAAGGTGAATGAAAAGGGAGAGTTGCTTTGGGACAAAATTCATAAATTGCAGAAAGGCCAGATTTACAAACAGGTACATTTCCAATATATCCTTCCATTACATATCTAGTTCCTATAATCTTATGTTTCTGTAGCCTTTATAATGTTTTTTTAAAATTAATTTAATGTACTGAAGGTAATTATATTGGTAACTGAATAATTTTTAAAAACATCCATTATTGGCATTGTAGACTTTCAGCATACTATATCATGTTCATTTTAAGTGTGATTAAATCTTATCTTGCAACAAAAATGGCGTGTATAATTTGAGCTATAGCATTTAATGAAATTGAGAGTATGACTTTAATCTTCTCATACTGTAATAAATATTGTTTAGATTTGTTTTTAAACTTGTCAGATTTTCCTCAATGTTCAATAACCTGGAAGTTGGATGTTACTTTAGTACACACACCTCTTGCTGTTTTGTTTCTTCAGGGTAACTTATATGAATTTCTGAAGCTTACTGGCTGGAGGGGTTCCAAAGTTCTGTATTTTGGTGACCACATTTACAGTGATCTGGCAGTAAGTAACTGGTTTCTTTTCTTCTTCGTGTTCCATGGAAGCGAAAGCCTTTTTTCCAGATTGGAAAAAAAGGGATTCAATATTATAAACACTCAATTGATATTTCTAAATATTACATTTGAAAACAGCTAGGCTTGTAGAAGTAAACAAAATCAAACCACATGACTGTAATACAAATTTAGAAAAGTAAAAATCATTTCCTGAAAAGGATGATCCTCATCATCTCCCCCAACTGCCTTGTAGCTTTTAACTAGTCTACAATTTCAGAACAGCCATATAAGCCTGCACACTTGAGATGGGCACTGTTTGTATCAGGTGTAATGGAGAATTTAAAGCAGATCTCCTGAAGTGCAGGATATTGCTGGTTTGGATGACATTTACCACCAACTGTAAATAAGGGAGTTTAAGGAATGAACTTCTGTTTTGAACTTCTCTATTAACATCTAGTTTTATGTTCCACTATCAATTACAGCCATAAAGTCTCTACTTTTTTCTCCTATCACGCTACACAAATGAAATAATGTACTAACTGATAGCTTTATATTAATTAAAACGCTGAAGCAGTGGTATCTATCTTCTGATTGTTGCCTCATGGGGCTTCCCTTACACCAATGGTTCATAAGCTCTTCTGTTTCGTGATGCCATGTTACAACAAAAAAAGCTTCATGACTCCCCATCCTGTCTTGCCATAAGGGCCCCGGTTCAGCAAAACACTTAAGCGCACACATAAATATTTTCCAGAATCAGGGCCCAAGAAAGAAAAGGACAGTCATGTTCCACTCAGGCACAGTGAAGAAGGGAGCTCAGGGAACTGGTTACAGTTCCCTGCTCCAGTTCCTATCAGCCCTGGCAGGAGTTTGAGTAGCTGGGGGCCTGTAACCACCCTTATGCCACTGAAGGCTTGGTTTAGTGGAGCACTGCTATCCATGCTCTGATGCTCCTCCCTCTCTCCTTATGCCTCCTTTAGCCTTACGCCTGCGGAGTTTTCTTGTTCCAGGGGAATTTCCTACTGGCCAGAATCCATTCACTTTGTGTCACCTGGATCTGCTCCCCAACTTTAGAAAAGTGGGATTTGAAGCTTTACTCTAAAATTAAACCTTTTTGCAAGTTGGTACAGTTGAACCACTGTGTTGAATGTTTTTGCTTACGCATAAGAAGTAATTTAATTAACATCTCTTTGGGCTAAAGTATAGTAAAGAAGTAAATCTCAGTTCTCTTAAGGCTTATACTTGCTTTTTGCAATTCTTGTTGGTAAATAGGATTTGACCCTGAAGCATGGCTGGCGTACAGGTGCAATTATTCCAGAGTTACGATCGGAGATTAAAATCATGAACACAGAGCAGTACATTCAAACCATGACTTGGCTACAAACCCTGACTGGATTATTGGAACATATGCAGGTTTGTCGTACGTGTGTGGCTTTTGTGTGTGTGTGTTTTTTTAAAATATCTTTTATTTAACAGGGGGGATGCAGCCAACTCTTTAAGGGTTTGAATTAATGGCCTTACAAGTGTTTTCAGTCTGATTTTTAATTTTGTTACGTTTAAGCTTTCAAATCTGATTGTAGGTACAAGCATTCTTGCAATTGCAGTTTATTTGATAAGCCAGTTTACTCACAAACTCCCTTATAAAACACACCTGCACTGAAACAAGAAGGAAATATTTTTGTTTAATCAGCAAAAACACTTTTTTTATATTGTTGATAATAGAAAGTACACTAAACCTGTACCAGGGCCATCATTCAAGTGTGATCATTATAAATAGAAGGGACAGATTTCTCCCTGTCCCTTCTATTTATAATGATCACACTTGATTCTTGACCCTTCTGATTTTTTTTCAGTGCACATAGGCAGTGCACCAGCATTACCTTTTTAAGCAGCATTTTTTCCTTGTTCCAGCAACAAATGAGTCTTTTCCCCTTTATTGAACTCTTATTCTGCAAGCGTATGTTTAGTTAGTTGTTGACCACATTTATATTTCAGATTTACCAAGATCCAGATTCACAAATGATTTTACAGGAATGGAAAAAGGAAAGAAAAGAAATGAGGTAAGAAATGAACATTCAAATACTTGTTGCAATCAAAATGGTTTTTTGTTTGGACTTTCCCAGTTTTTTCCAGAAATCTATATCCTCTGTACTAGCTATTGATATGAATAGGGACAAGCATTTATATCTGTCTTCTATATGCCTCTCACACCGCTCCTGTCCCCCTCTGCACATGTGAAATCCTTCCCTGTGTGCCCTGCAGAGCCCTGTTCTCTTCTTCCCGATCCACAACACATGTATTATGGTCCCATATGAATGGCCTGAGTTACCCTGATGTTCCTCCCACCCTGCACAGGCCTGGTCCACCATCCCCAAATTCTGTATTTTCTCGCTCCCCTGTCCTCCCTACATTCAGCTGCTACCCATTGATAACAGTTCCATAAGGAAATTTTCGCATAACTCAAACCCATACTTCTCAATAAGGGGAATAGCATTCTTATGTTTTAAATTTTTAAACTTCAAGAGACCTAGGTCTGGGGCTACGTCTTCACTACGGGGGGGGTCGATTTAAGATACGCAAATTCAGCTACGCGAATAGCGTAGCTGAATTCGACGTGTCGCAGCCGACTTACCCCGCTGTGAGGACGGTGGCAAAATCGACCTCTGCGGCTTCCTGTCGACGGCGTTTACTCCCACCTTCACTGGTGGAGTAAGAGTGTCGATTCGGGGATCGATTGTCGCGTCCCGATGGGACGCGATAAATCGATCCCCGAGAGGTCGATTTCTACCCACCGATTCAGGCGGGTAGTGTAGACCTAGCCTGAGATGTCAGATTGTGTGTGTGAGAAGTTGAGGTTTGTGGAGTCTCTTGCTGGTTAGTTAAGGAACTTCCAAAAAAATAATGGGAGAGGGAAGGGGAAAGCCTTTGGAACCAGTTAATGCCACTCCTTAACTCCCTCTTCCAGTCCCGTTTCCAAAAAGACTGCTATCAAATCTCTTCCAGTTGGAAAAATGGTGTCTGGGAAAGACTGGCTAGGATGCAGGAGCTCAAGAGTGGGAGTTTAAGGCTATGTCTATACTGCGTACCTTACAGCAGCACAGCGGTGACACTGTAAGGTCTCCCGTGTAGCTGCTCATTGCTGGTAGGAGAGAGCTCTCCTGCCAGCAAAATAAAGCCACCCTCATCGAGCAGCGGTAGCTTTGTCAGCAGGTGAGCATCTCCCACCAGCAAAGCACCGTCCACACTGGCGCTTTTTGTCGGTAAAACTTTTGTCAGGGAAGCTTCCCCCACCCCCCACACGACACAAGTTTTACTGACAAAAGTGCAGTGTAGACATAGTCTTTGTGTGGGAAATGGAAATCTTTAAGACAAGGACAAAGATCTCTTCTGTGTCTCCTCCCCAGCCCTTCAGAATAAAAACTGGAAACGTTGGGAATCCAATCTTATGCCATTGGTTTCAGTGGGTGGAAGATCAAGGTCTTCCTTAATAATCACACTAAAGATATTTACTAAATTACCTATTATCACATGAAATGCCTTTCAAAGCAAGTTTAAGTGGCTTTGAGTGACAGCACTAAGAGAGTAGTATAAATAACTCCTTTTACGTTACAAGTTCTATTCATTTCAGATATTGGGTTATATAAATTGATTAAAAAGTGTCTTTTTTTTTTTTTTTTTTTTTTTTTTTCTCCCCCCCCCCTTTGTCCTTTGTCTGTTTAAATGTTCTCTCTGGTAACAGGGAAGTGACCAGAAACTTCTTCAACTCGCAATTTGGGGGCTTATTCAGGACTGACCAGAATCCAACCTATTTCTTAAGGCGTTTATCTCGATTTGCTGATATTTACATGGCATCGCTGAGCTGTCTATTGAACTATGATCCCAATTACACATTTTATCCAAGGAGGACTCCTTTGCAGCATGAACTCCCTACCTGGTCAGACCAACTGTGCACTGGTACATTCAGAATACCCTTCCTGCAAGAGATGGTTCAGAACAAATGAGCTTTGGGTTTGTACCTGGGTTATTTTATAGCACCCCAAATGGATGAATATACCCATCAGTAACTACCAGAAGGTAGATTGATTTTTTTTAATCATGGAGTACGTTTATGTATCTTGATCCAGTTACTGGACTTCTGTCCTGATAGAGCAAGAATAGATATATAACTTGTCCCTCCTCCCCTGTATTACTCCTGGGGGAATTCTGTGCCAAAAACTTAAAAGTCATGCACACAGTATAATCACACCGGTTTCCATCATTTTGGTAATTTATTTCAAAATACCTGTCAGCAAATATGTCTGTAACAATACAGACAACAAAAAAGATTCAGGAAATGTTTTTGACAAATAGATCCCTTATTAGGCATATTAATACAGATCTCTGAGTAATAACAGTTCTGTATTGTAGTTGAAATGAATTTCCCATACCCCTCCGAAACAGCGCAAAGGCTTGCGGGAGTTGGGTACAGAGGGGCTGATGGAGAGGGAACTAATTGCTTGGAAGGAGCCTGGGAATGAACCTGGAGGGTTGTTGGGTGTGAGAAGCAAGGAACATTTTTTTTGTGGGGAGGAAGGGAGGGATTGTTAGGGAGTTGAGGAGCCTCCCCCATGCAGACCCAAGCTGACCCCTAGCCTCTCCCATTCAGTTGGACACATCTGCCTCTGTCCCCATGTGGCCCTGCACCCCCATGCCCATGTGGTCATGCACCCTCACTCGCATTCAGCCCCTGGCTCAATGCTGTCATCTCACTAGCTCCTGGGCCTCTGCTCTAGTCTTCCCCCCCGCACTAGCCCTTCTGAACCCCAGTTTACCCCTCAGCAGCCCTGTGTGCCCCCCTCTGTCCATCTCTACCATGTTGCTTGCCTCCTCACCTGGCCCCACAGGCAGGGCACTGTGAGAAGGCAGCCTGTCCCGCTCCCTCTCTGCAGCTGGCTGCTCCGGCCCCTGAGCCGGCTGCCCTCTGTTCTGGTGCCACAGCAGCCCCGGCAGGCAAAAAATGTAATTGCAGTGTCTCTCCGGCAGAATCTATTTTCTGTGGGGAGAAAAAGAAATCTGCAGGGGACATGAATTCTGCAGGTGGCAGTGGTGCAGACTTCCCCCAGGAGTATCTAGGTGTAAATCCTCTTAAAACTAATGAGACTTATGCTTGCACATAGAGGGGGAAAATAGACCCCCAAAACAGAATTGGCTGGCAGGGAAGATTTGTTTTTTCATATTGAAACTCGTATCTATAACCTTGTGGTTCATAAAGATACAAAAAATATATAGCTTATTTCTTCTGGTGCTGGTCTGATGGACCTTCACGTGATGACTCCAATGTATCTTGACATGACTGAAAATCTTAAGTTCTATTGGGAGTTCAGAGAGACACAATTATCAAACAGTTTACAGTGAGGTGGAGAGGGAGTAGTGTAAGTATAGTCACTTTCTGTGCTGGATACTTGAGTTACAATAGATCTTTAAACCTGTAGTTTTACAGAGACTTATTAATGGGCTTCTTTTTCCTATCTGTACATGCATTTTACATTAGTGTAATCTAATAACCTGTGTTCTATATGTGATAAATATGTTGTCCCTGGGCGTAGGCCTACATTTTCAAATCTGACTTGTGACTTTGCGTGCCCAACTTTGGACCTCTTAAATGGCTTAATTTTCAGAAAGTGCTGAACACTTGCCCTTTGACAGTATCTCAAAGTAGACACCTTTGAATATTTAGGTCCTAGTTCTCAGGGAAATACTATGAATGAATGAATGTTCAACTAAAATGCAGGGTTTTTTTGCAATGATGAACAGTGTGTTACTATTCTGTGTTTCAGAATGTTAAGCCTTCATCACATGTTTGATGTAGCCTTCTGTAATGTTACATTTCAAAATAAATGTGCAGTATTGGTAAATGAGTTAGAAAAAACAGAGGAGGAAAAAAGAAAAATGAAAAGCAAATTCATATCCAATCTTTCCGGTTTTAAACCCCCCAAATTGGGGGAGGAAGACTAATTAGATCACACAGAATAAGTGGGACTGTACAGACTAGCGAGGAGCTTTATTTACTTAAATTATTGAAATTCTAGGTGTGATGGGATCCCAGGGGTGTGGCCTGGGACTGTGGGACTCTCTCCAGCCTTGGCGCTCTCTCTCAATGCCAGTGACTAGCAGCAAGCCCATCCAGGTGCTGTTATAACACAGCACAACTGCATGAGGAGCCTCACGCCCAGCTCGATTGCATGAATGCTTCCACAGCCACTCATGAATCACACCGAGAAAGGCACCAGCCAAATCCCCACAGCTCCCAGCCTTGTACTTCAGGAATATACTGTCTTGCACTGCTCATCTTGAGCAGTGCAAATTTATTAATTGGTTCACCACTTCGTCAATGGAAAGTGGATATACACCAGCCTTTGCAAACCTGAGCAGATTTACCAAGCACTTCAGGCAAACTCACTGGTAAAGCTAAACAGTTAAATCTATTTGTTGACTACAAAAGAGAGATTATAAGTGATAGGCAAAAAGTCAGTTACCAAAAGAAAATATAAGCACACAGTCTAAACTCTCGCCACTATTAGACTGGGCAGCATCTAGATTAAGCAGTTTTTCTCACCCCATTGGATATTGCAGTCCTTAATATACAGGTTTGTCCCTTAAACCTGGGCCAGTCTCCTCTGTTGGAGTCTTCTTCTGAGTGTCTTTGTTGCTTGCAGCATAGGTAGGGGCAGGAGAAAGGCCCAGCATGTACTCACTGTATCTGTTTTATACTCCCATGTGCTTGGAGAACACAAGTCCAGGCATGTCTGGTGGGCATTGCTTAGTTCCCAGGCAAGGTTTAGCAATTCCCCTGACCTGGCCTTATGCAGCTGAGTCATTGAATTGTAGCTCCCTTGCTGGACAATGGTTGTTTGACACCCGCCTGGGCGTTGGTTACTTTCCTTGGTATTGTCTCTGGAGAGCTAGTACCTGGGTTCTTCCCAAACCCACAGCATATTTTAGTGACAACCATGCAACACAATTCTCATAACTTCATATGCATTATCGATATACATATTTTGACAGAACAGTGACTTTCAGCAGCTCATAAACTTTCCCCTGATACCTCACATGTCCTGCTTTATGTAATATATCACAATTATATGTAAATGAGGACTATGGAGGTTACAGGCTGCTCCCCCAAGATATAGAATGTCACACTAGGAAATAGATAAGCAGTTAATTTTGCAGTGTATAGTTCCCAATGTTTAAGACTGAACTGAAGCTTATCTGAATTTTGCACAAAGGAAGCATCTACTGAAGCATGTTTCCTCAAATAAGCAGTCACACTTCAATAAACCATTACAGAAATTTCTAAGCAGGGTTTTTCCCTCCTTTGTGACCAAAGGCAAAAAACCCAATGCTTCCCTACCCAGCCATTTCAGAACTCGAATAGCTGGACTCATTTTAATACACCTCTACCCCGATATAATGCAACCCGATATAACATGAATTTGTATATAATGCGGTAAAGCAGCGCTCCGGGGGGGCGGGGCTGCGCACTCTGGCAGATCAAAGCAAGTTCGATATAACGCGGTTTCACCTATAACGCGGTAAGATTTTTTTGGCTCCCGAGGACAGCGTTGTATCAGGGTAGAGGTGTAATTCCTATGTTTTAGTTCTAATTTTAAAAAGTATAAAAATATAACTGGCAAAACATATAGCAAGTATTATTATTATTTTTCTTTTAGGTCATAATTTGCTTCCAGCAATGACCATCGGTGTTGCATGGCACGCCCTCACTGCCATGGCGCCTCCTGCTGGTCAATCCGGGAATTAGCTCCTTCCAGCCTCGGAGTGCCTCCTGCTGGCCGGTTTCTCTCCCTTGGCTCCGGCCCCATTGTCTCCACCACCTCTGGCCCCGTGTCCCTCCTGGACCCTGGTGCCCCTTACCTTGGGGTGCTGCCCCGCAGCAGCACCCCCACACTCTGGGTTTCCCTTCAGGGGAACCCCAACCCCCCCCATACCCACCTTGCCTCAGTGGCTACTGCCAGTCTTCATCTAGCCCCCTTTCTCTGGGGCAAACTGCAGTCTGTAATGGCCACTCAGCACTGGCAAGGTGCCTCTGCCTATCCCCGGGCTGCACCTCTGCAGCCTCAATACCTAATTAGGCCTTTTACAAAGCCTCAGCCTGAGGAGTTGCCAGGCTGGAGCTCCCCAGCTCCTCTTGCCCTTCCCCAGCACTGCTTTACCCAAGGTACCCTGTACTCCCAGGTAGCCAGGTCCTTCTCACTCCAGGGTTGGAGTGAGACTGTCCCAGCTCCTGGCTCACAGCCCTCTTATCAGGGCCAGCTGGGCCCTGATTGAGCTGACCACACCTATGGTCAGCTACTCAGCCAGCCTCCCTCAGCTGCTCTCACTCCTTCTATCCCAGGAGCGGGGTAACTGCCCCGCTACCATTGGGTAAATGAACTTTTGGCTTTCGTATGCAATTTTTTCACATTTTAAAAAGCATGTTTGCAAAATGAACATTTAAAAAACTGCTTGCACAAATCCCAGTGTAAGTTTTCTTTAAACCTGGATGCTTGAAATATATCTATTGGTGGCCATGGAGGTTTAATACGATAACTTCAAACAATGCTTTCTCTAGCTTGGTTTCCAAGACTATGTGCAATATTTCTAGGGGGTTAGGTACTTCTTTATACATATGAATAGACTATACTTGACTTGAAATGTTTGAGTTCCACTGACTGTCCTATTGTTATTTGCTGGAGAGAAGAATAAACTTCCACTGGTACCTAGTCTAGCTTTATCAGGTGAGTTGTTGGCTGTACAGTGCAAGATCTAGTTAATTTAATATTTTACATAACTTGATATCTAGTCTATTTTGTATGCTGAAATTTGGGGCGGAGGGGTAATCTTAATTTGCCAATGTCAATTTGTGTGTTAGCATGCTAAAATAGAACAAAACTTGATGTTACTGCACATAGCACATTTCATATCCCAAAGGATAGCAAAGTGCTTTATAAAGTATTTGTACTGCAGAGCATAACTAGTTTAAGAGAACATAAAGTCAGTATACTTTTTCCATCTGGTTTAGTACCAGCAGATAATAGTTAATGTCACATTTTAAAAATTGAATGGTTACATTTGTTCGAACACTTTGATGCTTATGGCTCTTGACATGAGCCTTTGTTGCCTAATCTTGTAAATTGAGGTAAAGAGTGAGTCCTTCTGAGCACTGCTAGCATGTTTTAAGCAAGAACAGTGAAATTGTTGTGTGGGAATATTTTATCCGTCTATTTACTGTGCATTTTGTTTCAAGATGAAAAACTTCATCCTAACTTAACATAACATTGTACTGTATTTTATGCTTGGTGTTGATTGCTTTGAGAGCTGAGGGAAAGCAGTTAGTATGGGATATATAATTTTTTTTTTTAATTTATATTGCATGACATTTTGTTACAGGGGATTAGTGTTCAAGCAAACCGTATACAATATGAATGTAAAACAAGTGCTCTTGAAAATATAAATACATGAATATGCTTCAGTGTACCTCCTTCCCGTTAACACTGCCAACATCACTTCTCTCATGCAGATTTTACAGCATGTTTCAAATGCAGTGTATCTATATCCATTTTTGGAGTATATTTCAACTGAACCAGAGTGAGATGAATTGTCTATATTTAGTCTAAATCAGAAGTGCGAAAATTAATAGTTTGGTTAATAAACAATCAGAAAATGTTACTTTATGTGAAGAATATTTAATGATTGCTACAAAAATAAATGCATGTATTTTATCTGGTCTCTAAAGAGCCTTAATCTTTCTGATGACAGGGAGGGGGTGGCAGGAAGCTTATTAGCTAGGCCCACTAAGTGGAAAAACTATCCTAGATATTTTTTTTAATTCAATTTAAGTAAAAACATGTGTGTCTGGAGAACAGGAAGAGGGGATAGACATGAAAATAACTGTAGTCTTTGCCTCACTTGTTCAGTCATTTACCCTTTAAACTTGTAGTCAGGCTCATGTGAGGAATTCCATCAACAAATGCTGGGTATGTCTACAGTGCAATTAAACACCTGTGGCTTGTCCATGTCAGCCTGAACATCTACACCACAATTTTACAACCCTGCAGTCCAAGCCCGAGCCATCGAACACAGGCCAGCTGCAGGTGTTAAATTATATTGTAGACATACACTGTACTGTAACCTATGTGGTTTGCTTGTATTGCTTAATCTGCTGAAAGATCCTGGGATAGTTATATGAAAGTAATCCGGTGCTACACAAAAAATGACTTGTTATGAAAGAGAGAAAAGAATGCCAATAACTATATACACCTCTACCACGATATAACATGACCCGATATAACACGAATTCGGATATAACGCGGTAAAGCAGTGCTCCGGGGGGGTGGGGCTGCGCACTTCGGCAGATCAAAGCAAGTTCGATATAATGCGGTTTCACCTATAACGCGGTAAGATTTTTTTGGCTCCCGAGGACAGCGTTATATTGAGGTAGAGGTGTAGTTGAAATGAAATGTTACCACCACTGCTATCACAAACATAAAATTCTCTCCTTGAGGTTTACTGTGTTATGTAGCCTTTCCAGTCATCTGGAGACTTGCTTCAGCATTAAGACTGAATTTCCCCACCTCCCTGCCTCCAACCTTATTTCATTATTTATTTTACTATAGTACATGTAGAAACGGCAGCTGCTATTACTGTTCATTTAAAATTTGCATCTCATGAGTTGACACAAATACACTACACAGACAATGCAGAAGATTTTTTTTTTTTTACTTTACACAGACCACTAAAAAGAACAGGGAAGGCAAAGCAGGCAGTAAACAAGCAGAATGCCTATTCTGCACAAAAATGACTTGAAATAAAAGAACAAAACAAGGTTAAAGTCATACATGACTTGCATTCCTCGTTAATTCCTCTACAATGAATATTTCTTCTTCATAACAATGACACAAAGAATCCATAAATGGCTCAGAGTGGGCAAACCAGACATACTGTGCTTGCATTCACAGTTAGTTCACTTTTTAGAAGGAAGAGCATTGTTAAGATCAAACCATTTTAAAAATGAAGGTCATAAGCCTTAAGCAATATTTGCAGTTTTTGCTCGTCAGCCACTTCTCGATTCGACCCCAAGACAAAATTAGATATAAAGACACAAGGGTAGCGCAAACAGAGTACATCCTCCAAGTACGGTCATCAGAGGACATCAGGACTATGTGTTTAAGAGGCAGTTTGATCTCTTTACAGAAAGATGGGCATCGTAAATCAAAGTGGCTACATGGTGTTCTGAAAAACTGTAAGTCATCGTGGGCTGTTGTCTAGCAACTGGTATGTCCTTAAATAGAAATAACCTTTAAACATTTCCTAGGCAGAGGAATACATTTTTACGTTAATTTTGTATTTGTTTAAAATGGAACTTGATATTCCTTGCATGCAACCAACTTTTCAGCAAATTCCCTGTCTTACACACCTAGGACTACATTTTAAACACTTTGAAAAAAAAAATTGTAAAAGGTAATTTTTTTTCCTGAAGTGCTTAGGCAGGGCTTATTCACAGTAAATGTTAATTTTAGACTGTAGAGAAATGTTTTTCATTGTTGATAATTCCAACTTCTGTCTTCAAAACTGATCGTGAGGCCCACACATTACAAGCTGCTGTTCATCAGAATCCTATAAAATATAAATGAAGTATCAGACTCTATTGTCCAATCTATAACTTCCCTGACAGTGAATTTCTGTACCTATTATGCCTACCGCCTGTGCAACAGAAAATCCAAAACCCAGCACAAACATTAAACTGCATTCCAGATTCTTTTCAGTGAGAGATTTCCCCCAAAATGTCATTCATCCTACATCCAGAACAGCATTGCATCATGTTATTTGAATCAAGCCAACATGAACGGAGACAAAGTAAACTTGAGTCATCAGCCCTATAAGGGTCTCAGTTCAGCAAAGCCCTTAAAGCTCAGGCTTTAGTTCTACTGAAGTCAATAGGATTTTTAAGCACATGCTTAAGTGCTTTGCTGAATCGGGGCCATAAGGACTAACCCCACTTGCCTTCAGTTTCTTTAACCTTTCCCTGCAATTATTATGGCGGCGGGAGGGATCACATAGTGCCCCAAATATTTGTGTCCCCTTGCTATTGCAAACTTTTGTCCGAGTGTAACAGCAGGCTTGTAAAATGCTGCTGAATGACCGTCAAACTGATACAAGAGCAGCATGCAAGTTTTTTATAGGAATATTCACTCTGGAACATCTGTTCTTACATGGGGTCACTGTACAGAACAGGATGAAAACCACTGCTATAAGGTATCTGCAGCTGAGATAAGGAAACCTTATTTTTAAAAATAAGGCCTCTTCTACACATTTCCCATCCTTTCTACCACTCAGGCAATAAGTGGGGACCGGGGGAATGTTTGCATAGACAAGTTACTAGCAGCTACCAGTGTTTTAACTGCAGTGTCTTTTACAGCTAGCTCTGGTTGTTAAAATGCTGCTGAGTGATCTCGAGTCCCACTATTGCTACTGGTGGAGCTGGCCCAGTGGTAGCAATGGTGGGATTTTTATTCCCCCCTCCCCCAAGTATAGACCCCCTCCTTCCCGACAGACACTGTCCCATTACAGAATTCCATCTCCACGATCTTAAACTATTATCATAGTCTCCAAAATCAAAATGAAAACTTACAGAGAAAGGATCGTAGGTAGGCTCAGGTGGAGGAGGAGGAGAACTTTCATAGGAGGGATTTGTGATGTTTGAAAGCCGTGGCTTGTCTAGTGCTGTTACATCTATGTCTTCTTTTGACTGTATAAAACCATACACCCATTTAAAATCCATCATTCTGCATTGGCATATCATGTGAGACATTCAGAGTTTAATTGACTCTGCCGCACATAACCAAGTAATTTGCATTGGTGTAGTGACTGGAGGCAGTGTGGTCTAATGGCTAGAGCGTTGGACTTGGACTCGGCTGACGTGAGTTCTGGTCCCAGCTCTACCACGTGACCTTAAGCAAATCACTTTGTCTCTTCTCTCCCGCCCTCCCACTCCCTCCCCTTTATCTTCTCTACTTAGATTGCAAATGCTTTAGCATGGGGAGCCTAGCAGACCGGGTTCCCAATCTCACTTTGGGCCTCTGGGTGCATAATACAAATAAATCACATTTCCCTTGGTCAATATTCCTCTTACAATCCTAAATGACTATTCATGTTATATGCAGGAGCTAGAATAGGTAACATATGTGCTGACTCCGTGCGTGCTCCAGGGCTAGAGCACCCACGGGGAAAAATTAGCAGGTGCTCCGCACCCACTGGCAGCCAAGCTCCCCCCGCCCCCTCCTCACTTCCTCCTTCCCCGTGTGCACCGCATCCCTGCTCCTCCCCGTCCCTCCCAGCACTTCCCGCTTGCCGCCTAACAGCTGTTTGGCGGTGTTTAGGACTTTCTGGGAGGGAGAGGGAGGAGCGGGGACGCGGCGTGCTTGGGGGAGGAGGCGGAGAAAAGGTGGGGTGGGGACTTGGGGGAAGGGGGTGGAATGGGGGTGGGAAGAGGCAGGGTAGGGGCAGAGCCAGAGTCAGGGGGTTGAGCATCCACTGGGCAGAGGGGAAGTCGGCGCGTATGATAGGTAGGGACAGAAACTGGCTGTTTCTGGGGGAAATTTTTTCGGATTGATCCTTTTACATGACCCTTTTACATTCTTTTTTTCCCATCCATCCTTGTATCTAGTGCTGAATAGTTTTGTTACTGGATTGCTTCCTGTGAAGGCACTGTGCAAAGCTAAGCGGTGTTGGTTGGCTCCATGTTAGATATCGCATCTAAGGTTACTTTTTAGAACCTTAGCAAATGTTTTAACTTGTCTAAATCTCTGCCCTTCCTTGCTATCAAATCTCGGTTCAAACACACACACTGGACAAGCCCAGGACTAGCATGATTGTTGGTGGTAAAATGGGGGTATTGTGTGGTGGTCCACTTAAGTGGGCATAGTTAGGCTTCCAAATTAATGGCCTCCTGAAGCTGTGTGTCTAGGTGAGCTGGAGAAATAGGACCTTGTGGGAGGGCTGCTGTAGAATACAAGCTTAGAGCAAGGCTGGGGCCATGGGTGGGTGGGTGTGAACACTGCCCTAGGGAGAGTTCTTGGGAGGACTGTGCCTCAGGCAAGCACAGTTTCACCCTGGTGTGCAGGACAGCATGCACACTGCATCCCCACAGAGCACGTGGCCCACACAGGACTGCTGTTGACTAGGATGGGCATGGCCTTGCCGCTTCATTGTTTAGGCTCTTGCGCTCCCTTGATTGCAGAGATTGTCCTTGTTTTGAGGTAAACGGGCTGGGGTGGGAGGGAAGCTGGGAGGTTTCTTGTGCAGGCTGTTGGTTTGCCTGGGCAAAGCTCCATTGCGACCATTTTAAGAGACTTTGCCTCTCTCCAAGTGTAGGAACAGCCCCTAGATTCTCAGGAACGGAGTTTTTGACCCTGCACATAGAGGCAGCCGTGTGCGTTGGGGGGTGGTTTGACGCAAACAAGCATATTTACTAACTAGCATAGTAACAAGGAAGGATGTTTTTGAAGACAGACCCAAACAAGATGGACATTGTAGCTTGTATCTGCCCCTAACTGGGGATGGGCATGAGAAGGTGCTGACCCCTTCTCATTCAATTTCACACTCAACCTCCTCCTACCTTGAAATACTGGAAGCCAATATTTCTCCTCTTGAATCTGAAGTACGAGTACCCGACAAAAGCCACGATTCCAATAACCAGGATGATGGCGAAGAATATTCCTGTTCCAAATCCAGCGTGGAGAGAAGCCTGATCATAGAGAGAGGAGTGAGTGCTGGAGCCGGGGGCTGAGCATCATTCCAAAGCGGTAGACCCTAATTTAAAATGCCGTGCACTGTAAGGATGCCGAGGGCAGGGTAAGAGGCAGGGATGCTGCCTCTCGTTTAATTCTTCTTGATCTGCTTTTGTGCTTGAGAATTCCCAGGTCTAAGACCCTCATAAACATGGGTTAAAACAAACCCTCATTTTCTAACAGAATCCAAGCTGCTCATTGATCAGCCAGTGATCCCTTTCCCCAGGGAAGGTTCCTTCTTAAGAAAAAACATGGTCAGACAATTGTACTGTAAAGGTGGGAAAGGTAGCCTTCTGCAATAGAATTTGCATGCAGGTAAGTGTATGGGAGTGGAATGATACAATCCTGGTCTACACACACATTCTGTCTGTTAGCTGGGGGTGTGAACTATTAACAAAATACATACACTAATACAACCCCTAATGTGGATGCAGTTATATAGTAGAAAGATGCCTTCGATTGGAATAGTTGATTCCCCTTTCTGTACAGGGACAGGCTCCACTGCTGTAAATGCGTATAGCCGTATAACTGCACCAACACCAGACAGGGTTGTTCCACGCTAACTGGACCGAGAAGGTCAAACTGGTACAATTACACCTAAGCTGTAGTTAAAGCAGTACAACTTATGTGTAGACAAGCTCTTAGGGTGATCTTGCTCAGAATATGGCAAAGTGCCAAACTTGCACACACTGAAAGGAGAATATAGGTGTGTTCATGAGCCTTGCTATCTTGGTATGATTTGTGGTGATAATCTGCTAATCAAAACGGTGCAGGAATTGGAATTTCCATCCTGCAGAAAACTTCACAGAATTGTTTTTGTTCTGAGTCGCAATGAAAAATCAGAAATGCAAAATTTTCCCTAGGACAGAAACTTTCAAAGAACTCCATTTTGGAAGAACCAAAATGGAATTTTTCAAAAACTTCTGATGTGGTAAACCAGCATCCGAGCTAGCTTCAGGGGAGCCACAGATCTGGGGCAGCTGAAGCTTCCATAGGAAGTTTTGATGGAATTGACAAATTCCCACAGAATTACTTGATTCAGTCAAATCAGCATTTTCTAGCAGATAATTGTTCCATCAGGAAAAAAAAATTGACCAACTCTACCAGTAACTTTGTCCTTGAGTTTTAAATTCAATTTATACTAAAGTAAATTCTTAACCTGGAAATAAAACCAGAATGCAACTGACAGGCTACTTTTAAGGAATTATAGGAAGATTGTATGGACAAGTTATTCATAACTGACAGCAATGATCTCAAAACATATAACAACAACAACAAATACTTACAGTTGGAGGAGGAGCTTTTAAGGGCTCTGAAATGACATGGATTACTCCATTGGAAGCAATGATATCCCATTCAAGAATAGATTTTCCATCCACATATCTGGTCTCATTCTAACCAAGAAAAAGAACAGTGGGAACTGAGTTTTGACCTTCCTGACTTCAGAAGCAAAGTAAAATTTAGATTTATAGATTCATAGATTCTAGGACTGGAAGGGACCTCGAGAGGTCATCGAGTCCAGTCCCCCGCCCTCATGGCAGGACCAAATACTGTCTATACCATCCCTGGTAGACATTTATCTAACCTACTCTTAAATATCTCCAGAGATGGAGATTTCACAACCTCCCTAGGCAATTTATTCCAGTGTTTAACCACCCTGACAGTTAGGAACTTTTTCCTAATGTCCAACCTAAACCTCCCTTGCTGCAGTTTAAGCCCATTGCTTCTTGTTCTATCTTTAGAGGCTAAGGTGAACAAGTTTTCTCCCTCTTCCTTATGACACCCTTTTAGATACCTGAAAACTGCTATCATGTCCCCTCTCAGTCTTCTCTTTTCCAAACTAAACAAACCCAATTCTTTCAGCCTTCCTTCATAGGTCATGTTCTCTAGACCTTTAATCATTCTTGTTGCTCTTCTCTGGACCCTCTCCAATTTCTCCACATCTTTCTTGAAATGCGGTGCCCAGAACTGGACACAATACTCCAGTTGAAGCCTAACCAGCGCAGCGTAGAGCAAAAGACTTGACTTCTCGTGTCTTGCTCACAACACACCTGTTAATGCATCCCAGAATCATATTTGCTTTTCTTGCAACAGCATCACACTGTTGACTCATATTTAGTTTGTGGTCCACTATAACCCCTAGATCCCTTTCTGCCATACTCTTCCTAGACAGTCTCTTCCCATTTTGTACGTGTGAAACTGATTGTTCCTTCCTAAGTGGAGCACTTTGCATTTGTGTTTGTTAAACTTCATCCTGTTTACCTCAGACCATTTCTCCAGTTTGTCCAGATCATTTTGAATTATGATCCTATCCTCCAAAGCAGTTGCAATCCCTCCCAGTTTGGTATCATCTGCAAACTTAATAAGCGTACTTTCTATGCCAATATCTAAGTCATTGATGAAGATATTGAACAGAGCCGGTCCCAAAACAGACCCCTGCGGAACCCCACTTGTTATACCTTTCCAGCAGGATTGGGAACCATTAATAACAACTCTCTGAGTACGGTTATCCAGCCAGTTATGCACCCACCTTATAGTAGCCCCATCTAAGTTGTATTTGCCTAGTTTATCGATAAGAATATCATGCGAGACCATATCAAATGCCTTACTAAAGTCTAGGTATACCACATCCACCGCTTCTCCCCTATCCACAAGACTCGTTATCCTATCAAAGAAAGCTATCAGTTTGGTCTGACATGATTTGTTCTTTACAAATCCATGCTGGCTATTCCCTATCACCTTACCACCTTCCAACTGTTTGCAGATGATTTCCTTAATTACTTGCTCCATTATCTTCCCTGGCACAGAAGTTAAACTAACTGGTCTGTAGTTTCCTGGGTTGTTTTTATTTCCCTTTTTATAGATGGGCACTATGTTTGCCCTTTTCCAGTCTTCTGGAATCTCTCCTGTCTCCCATGATTTTCCAAAGATAATAGCTAGAGGCTCAGATACCTCCTTTATTAGCTCCTTGAGGATTCTAGGGTGCATTTTGTCAGGCCCTGGTGACTTGCAGGCATCTAACTTTTCTAAGTGATTTTTAACTTGTTCTTTTTTTATTTTATCTTCTAAACCTACCCCCTTTCCATTAGCATTCACTATGTTAGGCATTCCTTCAGACTTCTCAGTGAAGACCGAAACAAAGAAGTCATTAAGCATCTCTGCCATTTCCAAGTTTCCTGTTACTGTTTCTCCCTCCTGACTGAGCAGTGGGCCTACCCTGTCCTTGGTCTTCCTCTTGCTTCTAATGTATTGATAATAAGTCTTCTTGTTTCCCTTTATTCCTGCAGCTAGTTTGAGCTCATTTTGTGCCTTTGCCTTTCTAATCTTGCCCCTGCATTCCTGTGTTTTGCCTATATTCATCCTTTGTAATCTGTCCTAGTTTCCATTTTTTATATGACTCCTTTTTATTTTTTAGATCATGCAAGATCTCGTGGTTACGCCAAGCTGGTATTTTGCCACATTTTCTATCTTTCCTAACCAGCGGAATAGCTTGCTCTTGGGCCCTTAATAGTGGCCCTTTGAAAAACTGCCAACTCTCCTCAGTTGTTTTTCCCCTCAGTCTTGATTCCCATGGGACCTTACCTATCAGCTCTCTGAGCTTACCAAAATCCGCCTTCCTGAAATCCATTGTCTCTATTTTGCTGTACTCCCTTCTACCCTTCCTTAGAATTGCGAACTCTGATTTCATGATCACTTTCACCCAATCTGCCTTCCACTTTCAAATTCTCAATGAGTTCCTCCCTATTTGTTAAAATCAAGTCTAGAACAGCTTCCCCCCAGTAGCTTTTTCAACCTTCTGAAATAAAAAGTTGTCTGCAATGCAGTCCAAGAACTTATTGGATAGTCTGTGCCCCGCTGTGTTATTTTCCCAACATATATCTGGATAGTTGAAGTCCCCCATCACCACCAAATCTTGGGCTTTGGACGATTGTTAGTTGTTTAAAAAAAGCCTCATCCACCTCTTCCACCTGGTTAGGTGGCCTGTAGTAGACTCCTAGCATGACATCACTCTTGTTTTTTACCCCTTTTAGCCTAACCCAGAGACTCTCAACACTTCCGTCTCCTATGTCCATCTCCACCTCAGTCCAAGTGTGTACATTTTTAATATATAAGGCAACACCTCCTCCCTTTTTCCCCTGTCTGTCCTTCCTGAGCAAGCTGTACCCATCCACACCAACATTCCAATCATGTGTATTATCCCACCAAGTTTCGGTGATGCCAACAATGTCATAGTTCTATTTATTTATTAGCACTTCCAGTTCTTCCTGCTTATTACCCATACTTCTTGCATTTGTGTATAGGCATCTAAGATCCTGATTTGATCTTGCCTCCCAGTTTTGCCCTGACCCTCCTTTCTCTCTGCCGTTATAGCCCACGCTCCCTTCTATTTCCGACCCATCTCCCAGGTCTCCATGTTCCCCACTTACCTTATTTCCCTAGGTCTTTCACTGATTAGAAGAGGGAGACTCTTCTTGTGTAATTATACATTTGCCTAAAGAAAATACCCTACCTGGTTATTGGACATCAGCCCACAATTGCTCAAACCCTCTGAGGGCTCCTCTGGGCCAGAGCTAACCAACAGGAGTGGAAATCCAGGAATGGACAATGCCAGGAAATTTATTTTGTCCCTTTATCTGTGTCATGTTTTTAGTGATTTATGAAACTGACAATCTTGACTCAATAGCAAAGTACAATACTGGGAGCAACAGGACAACTGTCTCCTTGTGGCCTTGCCACTGTATCTCAACCCTGGCCAGGAGCATTGTCATCTCCATGCCCATCAATTTTTGGCTCTCTGCTGAGGCGATCATTAAATACTATTTGTGCTGGTGGCACTTCAAAGTGGACACCTGTCAACCAGTCTGAGTCCACCAACTCATTTCATATAGACCATGGAACAGGTCTTGGATGGCAACATTTGGTCACTGCTTCCCTGGGCTCTAGCTGAATGGACAATCCTGGAGATGAAAAGGGAGAAGTAATGGGCTATGGATCAACCAGTCCTACAGTCACTCCAGACTGTTCTAAATGCAGTTGACAAACTCATCTTGAACTCTTGCTACCTATGGAACCATCCCGAACCTCTGTCTGGTCCCTTTTATCCTGCTGCTATGGCACAGAGGAGCTGGATCTCACCATCTGGTGATTCTTCCAGTTGAGGAATCTTTCGCTGATGTAGATGTAGCATATCCAGCTTCCTACACTATAGAGCTGTGCCAGAGGAGTTTCTGAGGGTGGGGGATGTAACAATCTCTGGCTGGTGAGGCAGGGCTGCTCTCAGTAATGCCAGTGGCAAACTGGTCTCTGCTTGGCTCCAGGATCAGGAAGCTGCAAACAGCTTCTCTTACCCCAAACCTGTGCTCACTGTATGTGGGGCATGGCTGAGGCTACAGTCATCTTTACCTGTTTTTTCTAGTCCCTCTAAAACCACATGCAGTGTTGAACCCTGTCTAAAGCATTATATTTTAAATAAGAATTAGCGCAGATGATCTTGCTCGTGAGTAAGTCACAATTTGTTGCTGTGACAACAGTGAGCAAAGCAGCCTTTTCTACATACAGAACAGAATCACGTGGACCGTCATGTGCACTACACAAGAGATGGTAGAAGTCACCCAGCATGATTCTGAGTTATAGTCTCTCCTGGCAGCATGAACGTTCTTATGAAAAGGATTTAGGGGCTCAGCCACTTCATGTGGAATGTCCGTTTCTATGGCCCGATAGGGTGTAGATGCAGGTGTTGCTTGACCTCTAAATAACTCCCTATGCAGATGTCCTCCAGTGTGAATGTGTGGATCTGTGCCAGGGCCTTGGGGATTAGATTAAAGCATTTTCAGTTTTGCAAACACAAATGTAATGTTGCCACCAGAAGGAAGACATGAAACAGACACTATAATAGGAAAACTATTACTGTTACTGCCTAGGTTATAATCTCAATCTTCCCTACTTTTACTAGCCCATCAGTGCTCATTTAAAAAGCCTTGAAAGTGTGTTGTGGGGCTGTTTCAACATGCTAGAGAGAGGCAAGTGCTTAGCTGAATGGAGGGTGCACACTTGTAAGACAGCTGTTTCGTTTCCCTTCCACTCTTACACGCCTTCGGGCACTGCTGTAACTAGGAATATTGAAGATGGTTTAACTCAGCCGGTTGAAGATTGGTATGCAGCCTGCTGTTGGCTTATAACTGTATAAACATGTGACCTGTGTTTAAAGGGCTAAACACCTTTGTAGGGATACAGTTGTGTATGCTGGAGTATACTTTTTGACAGGAGCATACTCTAGTGTTTGGACCATGCTCATTCACGTGCATGCTGAGAAGCCTCAAGGGGACTAGAAAATAAATTGGATGTTCTCTGGGTGGATTTTAAACAGAGGGGTGGAGTATTGTGTATTGCAAATCACCTGGAGACCAAAATCAACTGAACACATGGACTGGAAAAACACACCTCCCCATCCCCCACAGACCAAGGTTCAAGGAGGGCAAAACCCCCCCCCCCCAATAGATCTCTGGTTATTTTCTAACTCAAGTGTCAGATAAGGGGGAAGTGGCAGTGAAAAGATTATTTTAGTACTGTGCTGAGACAATGGTTTGGCTGTTATAGTGTATTCTAATGGGGTAGAAGAGTGGAATGGAGGGTGGAATTTTATTTTTAAATTCCTTATCTGATACGCTGTAATTGTCACCCCTGAATGTTTTTCTGGAGACAGGGGCAAGGGAAGGGTTCCAGAGCAATCTTCTTTCCAGCTCTCATTTATTCCCCATGTGTCACCTTCCTCAGAAGCCCACACTTCTGTTCTAGCCAAGGAACACTAGACACACATTCTTTGGAAGCTTGTCTGCAAGAGTCTTGCTTGATGACAAGCTCTTTAGGGCAAGGACTCTCTCTTGCTATGCATGTGTAACGCCAACAGACCCCGGTCATCGGCAGATGGGATTGAACCTGGAACCTCTGGAACTTAGTAAATGAGCCTCTACTACATGAGCTAAAAGCCAACTGCCTATAAGCTAACGCTGTAGAGCAAACTCATTAATCTCTCTCCCTAAGTGGTCTTGGTGCCACTAGATGAGACAGAACACCACACCCAGGAGGTGTGTGGGTTACACATGCAGCCAGAGTTTAGCCCAACGGAGTTGCTACATGGAGGCTGCTGTCATACAAAGTGTTTGAGCTGGGGCAGAACGTGAAAATTTTTACCATAAATGAAAATGTACATTTTTTCCAAAATTTAAGAATTTTCTGTTTTGACTTTTTCTGGTTTTGTTGGGGAGATGTGGTATCAGCTTTTTTAGGAAATGGCAGAAACGATTTTTTAAAAAAATCAATTTTCTGTGAAAATGTTCATTCTAAAAGGCCAGTTGTGGTCCATTTTTGTTTTTAATGAACATTTTTGATCAGGAACTAAGAATGTTCCTTAGTAGTAAACTAAATGCCACTCCCCCCCTCCCACTGCGCTCCAGCTCTCCTACCACCCTGAGGTGCAAGTTAGGCCCAAGCCTGCACTGCGACATTACATGCTTCTGGCGATATTGGCCAACCCCATCTTCCCCCACCCCACGTTTCAAGCTTTCTGTAACTCAACAGCACCTTATAATGAAATGCTGAATAACTTGCACTAGAAATCATTGCAGTCTCCTGGCTTGCTGCTTCTCCCTCGGGCAATGCTACCCTGGATTGAGCTGTGCTTGCTAATAAGCCAGACAAAGGACAAGATGGTGGATAGGAGTGAGGACAGCAGAATTATTTTTAACACAGATACCTTCTTCGTTGTCGGGATTTGGTAACCCTGGCTTCTGCTGTATGTAATTAAGAGTCTTTTCCCTATCCTTGTTTGAAGAGTAGTCCCATTGGTCAAGTCTTCATAAAACAGTGTGCTGGCATTGGACAGATGATACTCAATGTCTCGTCCAGAAAGTGTCTAAAGAAGAGGGAAAATAGATACATTTACCAATCTAACTCACCCAGCTGATTTTACCACTAGATTAAGTTCCCTGGATGGATTTTGAAATTCTCCATTTCTGCTATTTGCATTCCCGGACATAGTGGTCTTTAGCAAGAGTGCCTGTGGCTCTTTTGGCCCTAGAGTATTACACAAAACAAAACATATTAGCTGGACAAAAGGCTTCCCCTTCTTGCTGTTTTTTCTGCACTATCACAGGCACAGAGGAGCCTTGAAGAATCAAACAATGGTCCAAGCCCACTTCTTTTAAAAATGTGTTTGTGGGAAACCTTTAAGAAATGTACAAGTTTCAAACTACCGAGCGCACCACTGGGGCATAACGCAGGCCTCAGGATGAACTTCTGGTCCTACTGTGGGATAATCCAGGCCTGAGGATGAACTCCTGACCCACTGAAGTCAATGACCAGGATTCCACCCATAAAATTTAAAGCAACAGTTGATTGGAAAGGGATGAAGGACATGATAAGGTAGAAGAATAACCTCCTCTGAATGGATGTGTAACAAATACCAGGTATCAATATTACACACAACTTTCTTTTAACAACTGTCTTTACAGATGCAGTTGCAGATAAGTGAGAGCTGACCTTTCCTCGAAAGGACTTTCATATGTGGCAACAAAACCCACTGTATGAAAAATTCTTAAAAGGGGCCCAACAATATGTAACCTTGTATTCATGACTGTCTGGGAGAAAAATAAGAGAGCCAAGTTTGCCTATCTGATTAGCGACCTAGTAAAACCATCCGGCCTGCCATCTCTTCCTGAGATTTATTCATTCAAATTAAATTTAAACAGTTACTATTGGACTCCAGCATGCCTGCTCAGAATGAGGTAATACTGATACCATGAAAGAAAAGGATAAATAGATGCTCACCTCATTTTCTCTTAGCCCATTATTGTTTGGGGCGAAGAGGGTGGCCCGGGTTGACAAGTTTGTGAGGTATTTCAGGAACTCTCTGCCTTTCGTGGAGCTGTTAGAGTAAACCAGGACTTCCTAGGAAGAAACCAAATTCATTCTTAATTGAGGGCAATCTGGAGTATGGTCCAGTTATTGTGACAAAATCTGAATGAATACTATGTAAAAAAACAAAACAAAATTGTTTCAGTGTTAACAATGACGAAGTGACAACCATTTTATCCTGTTAAGGGAATATATACGCTGGAGCCAGGGCGTAATTCCCAGGTCGGGGAGACATACCCGCACTAGCTGTGACTGAGCTAACATGTTAAAAATAGCAGTGTGGCTGGGACGGGTTAGCCCACCCAAATACAATCCCGCCTGAAACCCTAGGTATATAAGCAGGATGGCTAGCCCCTCCCGCTGCCCCTGCAGCTAAGGCTACGTTGCTACCTTTTAGCACACTGGCTCGATCAGAGCTGGCATGGTATCCCGACCTCAGCTGGAAATTAGCTCCAGTGCAGACATACCCTTGGAGAGACATTTTTATTAAGAACACAATTTTAGCCCTTGATGCTGCAAATTCTTACACACAGGCTTAACTTTTAAGCACATGCGTAGACCCATTGTCATCAATGAGGCTATTCATATGAGCAAAGTTACATACCAACCTTAGTGTTTGCAGGATCAGGGACTTAAATGTCAATCTTTTGTCTTTTGCCTCTAGCAGTGTGGTAACATTCAAATAAAATATTCTACCAGTTGTGGCATTTAAAATTAAACCAAACCCACTATTAACATATTAGTTCAATCTACATTTTTCAACAGCACAAATTTTCAATTTTTTTTTTACAAAGCCTTCACATGGTTTAAATCAGTGATTTTTTAAAAAAAATCATGATTTAAATGGCTCCACCCTGCTTTAATGCTGCATTTTTGTAATGCTTGTATTTACTTTCTCATATAGTAAGAGAAGAGTGAGATTACCCAGCCATGTATGCTATTCAATGTGAGTGGAATGAGCTAATAAAGCGAACATTTACATGTAAACAAATGTGTGGGGTATTTGCTATGCTGTGAAACTTGGTTTAGTTTGTCTGGTTCTCAAAACAATGCACTTCTTCTTTCGTCCATACCGACAAGAAGTTTGTAAACATGGGGAAAGACATCAGGACCTGTAGCAGGTTCCCGCTACATGTGAAGCCATTACCCACATAGCCAGTCTTACACGTGCAGTTCACATCTGTAAAATACAAATACACGTCTTTTAGATAACAAGCCAAGAATGAATGGTGTATTCTAGGAGATTGTTTGCTTCTGCTCTATGGAGGAAAAATAATTTGCCAGTCCAAAGAAATTTTCCCTAGCTTAGAAAGAGAACCTGTTGCCAATACAATTGGCTGGGCTCTTTAAACTTAGTGACATTACTGGAACTAATTATAGTGCTGTCTTTTGACCAAACTACCATAGATGTAGGCAGTAGGCACTCTGTTACCTTTGACTCTGTAGCAGAAGACATCCCAGGCTTCACTCAGGTTGACTCTAAGCCCATAGTCAACTATTCCAACAAATCCTGATCCACAGTTTGGGGAAGAGAAGGCAGTTGGATAACCAACTCTTTCACTATCTAACCAGCCAGCAGCACAGAAGTGGTATTGTGCCTGCAACCAACACATTAATAATATTGTAAAGCACAGAGGAAACAGAACTGTAAATAATCTAACACACTGTGAGTGAAACTCATCCTCCCACGGAGGGCCAACATAATGCCTACGTGCCACGGAAGTCCTACTTAAGTCCTATTCTGAGGGCTTAAGCCGTGCATTGACTTTGTGTGGTCTTTCTGCCCAGGGTGAATGTCAACTCAGCCCATCCTGCACTGACCACTGCACCTGTGTGTGGAGTCCCAGGCACAGGGGGTTTGTCTATGCAGAACTCAATGCAGGAGCAGGGCCAAAGAGTGCTTAGCAGCAGTTGGGTGAATGAAAATGACCTCTTATCAACACAGAAGAAGAGTTGACAAGTTCAATTAAATGTGAATAATGAATATTCAGTAAACTCAAAGCCAATGTTATTGCTGGTTTTGCTGTCACAGAGAAATATTTACACTAAAGAGGAGCCTGAACTGCATTGTTCAGATCCAGAGCTGAATGTGCCCAACGTCTAGAGGGCTCTGGATCCTTGGGTTTGGTTCAGGCCTCTACTTGCCCAAGAAGAAAGTTAACACACTGCACATACTCCAGTCTTTCATCTTACCAGTATCTCTTGTTTCTTTAAATAATGGGCCTTGTTGCTACATTTTGAACTCTGAGTAGGAATGAGACAGGCGGAAACTGTATCCTAAATGACTTGATAATCAGTCTGACCCACCATTTAAAACTAGTTTTACAAATCCAGGGTGAAATCTTGGCCCCTATTAAAGACAATGGCAAAACTCTCATTGACTTCAACCAGACATAATCTAGAAGATGCTTAGTATAAACAATAATAAAAGGGTTATCCGAGACCTACGCCAGCCAGGAAAAAAACCAAAGCCTTGTTTGAAGAAAAAAAGTGTAAGCCTAGTTCTATAATAAGTAAGTTACTTTAAAAAATGTGTGTAATTAAAATCCGTAATAAAAAAAAAAATCTAAAATTTGGCTGCTAAAGAATCTTACTCTGCTACCACTAAAATCAATGACAATTTTGCTAATAATTTTAATTGAAGTAGAATCAGGTACAAAGTTAGTACAGCACACACTTTTTTGCTTGCTAGTATTGCCACATCTCAAGCAGCTGCTTAACATTGACAGATTAGAGTTCTAACATCGGTTGGCTGCCTGACATGGAAATGAAGGTTGGATAGAAGAAAACAAGGTAAGTAAAGTTTTTCAAGCAATCTACAGTTCCAAACCTTTTGATTCACCTACAGTAATTACAGTGATATTAATACAGGGACAGGAACGTCACTGTCCTACTGTGTGTTTATGAAATTGACAAAAAGAAAAAACTCTATTTTGATTTCCATTGTTGGTTTTCAGCTTCCAGGCATAAGGCGAAATCCTGCCTTCACAAGTGCATGTGCAATTCCTGTTCGAAGTCAATGAGCATTCTATGTCTGTTTTCAAGAGAAGAACTTGGTTCATTGATAGGCTTGGAAGGATTAGATTTTTCTTGGTAAATGTCAGTTAATGTCAATTTCACTGTACACACTAAAACCGATGAAAAAATATTTCCACTGATGATAATTGAAATTTACAGACAGGCAAAGTAAGAAAAATGCTGCTTGAGAACTTAGTCAAAATCCAGCAATTTAGACTTTTGAATTAGGCTTGTTACAAATGGACTAGTGAATGAATAGTAAAAACAGGTACGATCTGTTGATTTCAGGTTATTTACTTTGTATATTTTTACCTGTGATGTTGGCAATTTGTGTTTTAATGGTTATAAAGCTTTAACTTTTGGGATCTCAACATCTATTGTCATTAAATAATTGTCTGACCCCCCCCCAATAATTTTCCAGAAGTGTGAACATTTAAATAGCTAAAAAATGCTTCAAATCCATAATTTTGCACAACTGTGAAAATTTAAATCCATAAAAAATCTAAAAAAGATTAAAAAGAAACACTGATATTATCTGTTGAAATTAAAAATAAATAAATCAAATTCTACCAAGCCTACTCCTAGAGCAAAGAAGTTGCACGCCTTAGGATATAAATGTACATCCTTGTAGCATTCAACTTCCAAATAGCTAAGTCTGACAGTTCCGTTTCACCCTTGTGCAGCCACTAAATACAGTACACACACAGAGTCCATTGCCACTGAAGTTCAGCACTATGTTACCTTCTGAGCATATGACAGCTGATTATATGTAGCTATTGTTGCGCCTTCTCCGGCGCAGGCCTCCTTTGCTTTTTCATAAGTCAGTTTGTACTGCCCTTGGGGAGAGCGCAAATGGAAAACTCCAACTGTAGCATCTGTAAGTAAACAATAAATAATTTAACTTTAGGGCTGTATGTTTTTTTAACACTCTGTTCTGTAATAGTTTGAGCAATCCTTGAGGAATTTTCATGAAATGTAGCTAGTATGTAACAAGCCACGTGTGGGGTAATATTTCCATTTGGAATCATTTTAATCTGTTGCTTTCAAAGGTTCCAACTCACAAAATATTAAGGCACATTCTTAAACTTTAAGCATGTGCACAAGTCCGATTACTTCAACAAGACTTAAGCATGTGCTTAAGTGATTTGCTGTATAGGGATGGATTGTTCAATTAGGGCCTAAATTACTACATCTATGCAGAACCCCTTTGACTTCAGTGAGACTTGACATGGACACAGGAGTCCACCTGGATGGATCCAGTTGAAGGATCCTAGCCTAAGCTCTTCACACCACGCTACTTCTGAGTCTATCTGGCATACTGACCCTGGAAGTGAAGATCGGCACAGTTTGCATCGGCATGGCACTGACCGTTGTCTTGCAAACAACGGTCAACTGGAAGCTGCATCACAGTGCAGTCAAGCCCATCACCAACATAGTTATCTTTACATTCACATTTGCTTTTATCCTGGTAGGGGAAAGAATAAAAATGTCCAAATAGAATGTTTTACAAACATAAAAATGACAACCTAATATAGTATTTTCTGAATGGATGGAAGTATCCCATTTGCTGAGTCCAGCAACAGCACACTGTGCACTTGCTAAAATGCCATTAGCAAAAGCTATGACTCAATAAACCACTTACACACACATTAGAATTCATCCTTATTCAGCAAAACACTTAAGTACATAAGTGCTTTGCTGAATTAAGGCCAAAGCATTTATACCTAAACCACTCAGAGTACGCTTTGAAGAATTATAATAATAAATATACATGGTAGCCACTTAAAATTAAATAAATACATATGGAACCAAGAAAAGAATTTAACAATACATTGATTGAAACAGGCTGAGAAGTGAGATTTAGCGGTAGGAATATTTACATGTCTCCTCTAGGCATCTTATACATTCCAACCTGCCAAGGCCCAACGTGGGGAGAGGTGAGACACTCAGCATAAGGGTTATCAAAATATGCATGCAGCATACTTGAACATGCTGTGGGATCCATTCCTTTAGTATAAATAACCTCAGTTTCATGATACTGCATTTCTAGTAAACAGTTTCCACCAATAAGCTGAGTGGACACCAAAGTTATGTGGAAAGCAGGCTGGGATTGACGAGTGATGTGTCTCAAAGTCAGGGACATTTGGGAGGGGTGGTCTGGTCCAGCTCCCACTGAAGTCACTGGAAAGACTCCTGTTGACTTCATTAGGAGGTGGAGTGGGCGTCTCGTCAGGATTTCCAAGACAAAAAACAAAAAAGTCAGCCCCACCCCCCATCCCCACCAACAACTTACAGGTCCTGTCATTATACAAATGGCATGTTCATGGCAACCACCATTGAGCCCATCAGCGCAAGGATTTATAGGAAGGCAGGTGCGGCCATCTCCTGTGTATCCTTTCTGACAGCTACAAAGGACTGTCACACCCGTTTGGGTACATTTTGCATTCTGGTGACACCCACCATTGTTTTGTTTACAAAGATTCACAGCTAAAAAGCAAAAAGAAAATATGTAAGTTAGTGTATTTTTAAAGAGTGTCTTTCCTTCACAAGGAAATGCTGCCTCCAGTTCTTTAAAAGCAACTGGAACATTTTTTGGCTGACTAGACTGTAAGCTTCTTTGGCTAATCTCTATTTGTAGAGAGTCCTGCACAAAAGGGGTCCCAGTCCTCATCAGGGCCTTGGGCACATCTCTAATCTAACATATTAGAACTGGCCCAAACCATCCTCTCCTGCTTCAACAAGGGAATTTTTGCAAGGAAACCTCCATGAAGATTATAGATTCCTCTGCATTGTCCCAGAGGGCTGCAGGGCAAGTCCCTCCTGATCTCAACCCCATCAAAAAACGGTCCCCAAGAGTGGCAGATTCTCCAGAAGCCAGGGCCACGCATGCTCGGTACCTCACAGTGGTGCTGGCTCCCAGTGGCTCTGCTTGGCTCCTTGGTACCACAATGGAGCCACTCTAATAGGGACTCCACCCAGGCCATGGTGGCTCCTAATGACCTTGGGGGTGGATTATAGAAAGCTTAATACAACCTGGGGATGCACTAACTTTTCTGGCTAACTTCTGCTGGGATGGAAAGGGGAGAGTGTGCATTCGCCATGGTCCTCCAGCCTACCTACTCCTTCCACAATCCTGACTCTATACAATGGAGAGTGGGAAATGTGCCAAGCCCCCTTTCCAGATGAATGAACTCTCCACGTATGGGTCTGTGGAGGAGATGATCTGTCCCAGTAATAATAATAGCTCTCAAGTAATATTGTCAGACAGTTTCCTTGCCTCAGGTAATCAAACAAAGATTGAGGCCAATGAATTATTGAGCTGGAAAACCACAAAGTCCTCCCATACCCGAACAGAGCTAGCTAGCTATCTTGTTGCCCTCACATATACACATGTGAAGCCCCAATGAAATCACCGTGTTGCGCCTTCCAGGGCCAAACTCTGTCGTCTATTACAATGGTTGCAACCACGCATTGACCTCACACTGTGTATAAGAAAAATCTGTAACTACTCTTGTCATAAACATACAGCTAAGGGGAGCATAAAATCCCTCCTTTACCTGTAAGGGGGTAAGAAGCTCAAATAACCTAGTTGGCACCTGACCAAAAGGACCAATAAGGGAAGAAGATACTTTCAAATCTGTGGGGGGAGGTTTTGTTTTGTGCTCTCTTTGTTGTTCTCTCTGGGACAGAGAGGGACCAAGGCAGGAAAAACTATCTCCTAAAACCCTGCCTGAAATAAGCATCCAAGATTACAAAAATTGTAAGTACACCTCTACCTCGATATAACACTGTCCTCGGGAGCCAAAAAATCTTACCAAGTTATAGGTGAAACCACGTTACATAGAACTTGTTTTGATCCACCGGAGTGCGCAGCCCCGCCCCCCCGGGGCACTGCTTTACCGCGTTATATCAGAATTCGTGTTATATCGGGTTGCGTTATATCGGGGTAGAGGTGTAATAGCAAGGAAATGCGTTCGCTTATCTTTTGTTTTAGCTTGTGAATTTTCCCTATGCTAAGAGGGAGGTTTATTCCTGTTTTTTGTAACTTTGAAGTTTTGCCTAGAGGGGAATCCTCTGTGTTTTAAAACTTATTACCCTGTAAAATTACCTTCCATCCTGATTTTACATAGGTGCTTCTTTTACTTTTTTTCTTTATAATAAAGTTCTGCTTTTAAGAACCTGATTGGTTTTTAGTGTCCTAAAAACCCAAGGGTCTGGTCTGTGCTCACCTTGTTTACCTATTTGGTTGGTAAATTATTCTCAAGCCTCCCCAGGAAAGGGGGTGAAGGGGCTTGGAGGGATATTTTTGGGAAACAGGAACTCCAAGTGGTCCTTTTCCTGAATCTTTGTCTAACTCACTTGGTGGTGACAGCAATACCGTCCAAGGACAAGGAAGAATTTGTGCCTTGGGGAAGTTTTTAACCTAAGCTGGTAGAAATAAGCTTAGGGGGTCTTTCATGTGGGTCCCCACATCTGTACCCCAGAGTTCAGAGTGGGGAGGGAACCCTGACACCTCTTCATTTATTTCAGATTCCCACTTCTGAAAGTCTTTAGATCAAAAGTTTTGGATCAGGCCCAGGGGCGTATTATTGCCTAGGCCGACAAGGCCTAGGCCTAGGCCGGCAAATTTGCAGGGGCTGCAAATTTATAATAGCAGCATTTTTGTAATCGCGGCATCAGTGACGCCGCGATTCTACCAATCATAGCGCGTATTGAATCCATCAATGACTGCGCGACGCCATTTAGTAAACATACTCACGAGAATCCCTTTCTCTCCTGACAATTGAAAAGGCTCTAACAACGTCTCTGGATTATACAGAATTAATTAATAAGTTTGCCGCTCAAAGGTGTAGGTGTAAACAAATGTAACTACTTATTACTCACATACTTTTATTTCTTTTATTGTATCTACATAAAATAAAAAAATAAATATTTGATATACACCGGACCCCCGCTTGAACGCAGGGTTTTGGATCCATACACGGTCCCGCGCTATAAGCGAAATCGCGCTATACAGATGCGCATTCAAGCGAGGGTCCGCTGTACTTGTAATTTTATTTATAATAAAACTTGTAAATGTTCAATTATTTTAATGATATTTAGATTCGTTTTAGTTCAAACGAATTTGTAAAAAAACTTGAACAAGTTCATATGGGGCTGGGGGTGGCAAAATCATTAATCTGCCACTGTTCAGGCCACTCTTTGATACTTAACATTTCACTCTGATGAGTCCTGTGTATTAAAGTGAATGGCTAGGTGAAAACAGCAACGTTTGCCTTTAATGTTTGGGGAGAGGCAAGGTGGGTGAGGTAATATCTTTTACTGGACCAACATGTGTTGGTAAAAGAGACAAGCTTTTGAGCTACACAGAGCTCTGCTTCAGGTCTGGGACAGAAGTACATGAATTCACCTGTACATGTGATTCCATCTCCTTCATAAAATGGCTTACACTGACACATGTTGTTTTCTTTGCAGACGGCGTTACTAGAACAATTAGGTGAACACACAGGCAGCAGAGCTGTGAAGAATGTAAAATATCTGATGAAAATGACTTCTTATACTTTAAAAATGTGATCTCATCTAGAGAATAAAGGAAAACTTGTATACAGTACATGTTTACTTAAAAACCTGTGAGACAATTCATATTACTACAAAAACAACAAGGAGTCTGCTGGCACCTTAAAGACTAACAGATTTATTTGGGCATAAGCTTTCATGGGTAAAAACCTCACTTCTTCAGATGCATATGACTACAGAATATAATGCCTAGTTTTTGTATAGCACTTTTCATCATAAATCTCAAAGCACTTTAGGCTGGCGGTAAGTATCGTTATTCCCATTTTACAGATGGTCAAACAAGGGTGAGGTGATTTGTCCCAGAGCACATAGCAGATCAGTGCAGGAACAGAATGCAAATCCTCATTCAAAACTCTATCTACTGGGCCATGCTTTGATGCTAATCAATTGCAAGTGAAATGATCTTCATTACTCTGAAGCACACTTACAGTAATAGTCTAATATTATAAAAGGGGATGTTGTTTGAATTGATATTAAGTACCCTTTTCAAAACATATGTTCATTTAAAAATATTATATTTTGCAGGCGTGTAGTGCTTACATTTTCAAAGCACTTTATAAACAATAACTAATCAATCCCTGGGAGGTAGATGTGGATGAAGTTTTTTGATCAACACTTTTTTTTACAGTGGAAAATGCAGATTCTGTGAGACTAAAACATTTTGTGAATGTCTGTCAATGACACCAAATAGTTTCAGTTAAAAAAAAAGTCAACAAAAAGAAAAAAATCAAAACATTTCATTTTGACATTTTCAAAATACTTTGATTTTTTAGTTGAAATGACTTTTTATTTCAAAATTTCCTTTCATGTTATTGTTCGTTGTTTAAAAAAACCTTTTCAATTGGCTTAAAATTTCAGTTTTGCTTCAACCCAAAATGATTTTTTTCCAATTGTTCAGAATTGCCAGTAAATAGTATCCCTATTTTACAGACAAGGTCAAAGCCGCAGAGTGGGGAAGCAACTTGTTGAAGTCCATTATGACAGGTGGAATTAGAACTCTCTGGTCTCAATTCTCCGTCCTGTGGTTGGTACACTATACCAGTGTTTCTCAACCTTTTTGATACCAGGGACCGGCTTGCTGCCTTCCTAAACTGTGTCCACGGACTGATCATTGAGAAACACTGCACTAGACCATGCTGCCTGCCCCCACAGACAACAGAATAATCTGCTAAAAGCAGTCATGGAGTCCCCAGTACCTGAGCAATCCCAGAGTAGACAAATACAGCTGCATCTGACACAGACACCATTGCTGCTGTACAGCAGGGAGATGAACTAGATTAGTGATACTCAGCCACTGGTAAGTCAGGCATTTTTTTGACTGGTAGTAACATTAATGAAAAGTCTCTGTGCTGAGTCCCTGTGCACTGCTGCTGCCTGCCTCTCATTCAATTGTCTTCGTTTCCCAACACAATAGGTTGGTGTACACTGCAGTGTAAGCCCAGGATTAGTAGAACTCGAGTTAACAGACCCTGGGCTTGTTAACCTAATGCTTGAGTGTCTACGCTTATTTGTAACCCTTGTTACAGCATGTAGGTTAGGAATTGTTGAATCATGTGTCCCAACCTGGGGCTCCAGCATCTACACTGCATTATGTGGGCCTGAGTCCAATCACCCATATTCCTAGCACCCCCCCCCCCAAATGTGGCTGCTCTAGCCCTTTTTTCATGGTGCAGTGTGGGAAAACTTGACTGTCTTCTTGACTGCCCAAAGGACACAAAAAGTTGGCCCATGGGATTGTGGGATATTTTTGGCAGACTCCCACAACACATCTAAACTGCAGAGCAATAGGGTTTGACTCAGGGTCAGACCCTTCACCTCCATGTGGTCCTCGGACTCTGGGTCTAAGCCCTGGCTTAGTGCAATTTGTGTGTACATGGAACTGATCCTCAGTCAAGTACACCTTTGATACATTTTGCAGTCAGTCCTCAAGCAGGTTTACGAAGCTCCAACTTTAGAGGAACTGCAGAAATTTTTTGGGCGCCATGCAGATCATGGCATAGTGCAGCACAATATAATTTTCTTTATAGCTTTCAATTCTCCTTGTATCAAAAGCAAAATACTCTCCTTCAACATTTATCCTGCACAAAGCAGGATTTCTGGTGTTATTAACCCTGTCTTGCTATGTCCACTGCATGAAAACAACTGATTCGATTAAACTTGCTGGGAGCACTGTAACCTATTGTTTTGCAACAGATTCTGGTGAGAAGATACACACCTAGTTTGGTTTCACAGAATCGACCAGTCCATCCAGTTTCACAGAAACACTGTCCTGATCCAGAGATTCCTTCATCACATTGCCCATGGGCCTTGCAGCCGCAGACTGTAAAAGGAATGTAGATTGATCACAGAATGGTAATTAGAAAAGGAAAATTCTTCCCTAGAGCAATGTCACAAAACCACATAGGCCCCTGGCAGGAAGGGGTTAGTGGTCTATAGGTGGAAACCAGGCTTAGCCTGCAACAACTGTCAGTGATATCAAACTTGGAGGGGGCGGGGCTCTCTAACCAGAGGGAATAAAGAGAGTTGGCAAGCTTGACAGTTGAGTTGCTCTGTCAGAGAGATCTCAGGCAGAGAGTATTTAAGGGGCGGAGCAGCTTGAATGAGGAGCCCTCTGAGCAGTCACACCTGGGAAGCAGGCTCAGGCTGGCCTTCATGTTGTCTGATTGTTCATTTGATTGTTAACAAGGTCAAAGCCGGGATTTGCCTCTACACAGGGTAGGTGGACTTTGTCTCCAAGCAGGTGTAAAAGTTACCTGCTCACACATATTCTTACCCTCAAAAATATCTCAGCTATTTTTCATGACTGTATAAAAGTGTCTGAATGGGGATGGTCTTTTTTTTTTTTTTTTTTTTTTTAATAATAGTAGGGGGATATTCCTCTACCCTCATACTCTGAAACTTTAAGCACAAAGTATTTCTTCATTGAGTAGTAGATATTTCTTTGTGGAAATACCAAGCAACAGAGCTGGTCTCTCATGAAAAATCTTTATTATTGATAGTTCTTTGTGTTTTGCTATTTAATGGCGTTTTGGCTCTGCTGACCCACCCCTCTGCCAGGAATGTTTTTTGTGTATGTGGGAAAGTAATGGCATGGGATTTGGCTTATAAGCAGTTCTGATTCTATGGGTGAAATTCTGGACCCACAGAAGTCAGCAGCAAAACTTCTAGTGGAGCCAGGATTTCACTTTGTCTTTTGATTTGTGAAGGGTTTAACCTAGTCAATTAATGTTTACATTTATATCAACAAATTAATTATGTATATTAAAAAAAGAATATAGGGCCACAAGACCTTTTTGGCTTTTCTTTTAGTAAACAACAGTTTGAGGTTCAGACTGATAGTTTATATAGTGCCATAAACATACACATTCCCATACAATAGCTGTCAAATGGATAAACTTTGGGTAAGCATCGGAACTTTTGCATGCATAACCTAACCTTCTAGGTTAGTGCTAGTTACTACAAAACTGTGTTGGACTGAAAACAGTAATTTAGGGTGAAAGAGTTAATACCCTGTCTCTTCTGCTATCTTTAGTCTCTCAACTAAAGCCTTTATGCTGAGAATAATTTTTTTAAATCTAGGATGAAATTTACCTCTATGAGGATGCGCAAGGCCAATGCACCTGGGAAGTCCCACTTAAACCCACAATTGCTTGATTATGTAGGAACTTCCGAGGAGCATAGGCCTTCGGTTGGCCCTCTCTACAAATTAATTTCCCCTTTTGTGTTACTCTCTTTTTCATATAAGTATGAAGTGTTGCCTTTAGTAGCCATGAGACATCCTTCTGATTTCTTGTATTTTATCAGTGTTTCCATTCTATTGTCTTATCTGTCGCCGGGGTTGGGAGACGGCTATATTTTAGTTAAAAAGGACTGTAGATCAAGCAAGAAGTGATGCCTCAACCTGCTTCATGCTACTGCAAAATGGAACTGTATAATTGATAGGCGGAGTGGGTGAAATTCACCCTAGTGCAGAGGGCCAACACAAACCTATGTACCTCTGAAGTCCCATGTAAGCCCCACCTTGTGTTGGCTCTCTGCATGGGAGTGATCTTCAACCAGTGTCTGGGCTATGGCAGCCACAGGTGGCATGTCAATTGTGAAATGGAAGAGCAAAGAATATACATAAATTTTTTTTCTGCTTCAAAAATGAATATAGAAAAATGGTGTATTTTAATCAGATATTAATTCAGAAACAAAGCTGAAACATACGTTTACAGTCAGAGCCATATCTTCCAGGCAAACACAGCTCACATGAAGTCCCATTGAAGCCACTGTTGCATTTACACTCTCCGGTTCCTGAGTATTTGTCGTTACATGAACCATGATTATTACATGGGGTCTCTGGCCCTCCTGGGCAGGCTAGAAAGGATAAAATGCAGTGTCAGTTCTCTTCAGCTCTGCTTTGTATTTACAAGTTTGTTTGTTTTCTAAGAAAACTGGTTTTAGAAAATCTTTGAGCACAAAAATGTTAGTTCATAAATGTGTTCCTAAATCCCTTAGGTGCTTTTGAAAATCCCCCACATACACACTTAGTGGACCACAGTGGATTCATACAACCTCATTTACTTGAAGGATGTAACCTGGCGCCCACTCGTTTAGACTCTTGGCCCCCAGGACTGCAATCAGATCCATGTGGATGAACCCCTGAGCCCATGCAGAGCTTTGGTGAAGTCAAAACCAACAAGTGCTTGGGTTAAAACACGTGACATTTGGCAAGCATGTTGGTACAGCTGAGTGAAGGTTGGGAAGTTAGTTAGATGATACAATATCAGCCCTGGTAGTGATTCCCCTCAGATGTTGTTTTCAAAGTCAATAAACAAGTTAAACTAACAGGGCCCCACAGTCCCCTTAGTGCTTAATGCTCTTTGAACTCATACCAGATACACATATGCTCATGCACTAGCTGTGAATTCTAGCACATGTGTTTAATGCATTTTGATGTCAGTCTCCAGAAGTTGACACATGATATGGTTCTCGCATCTTTTGTATTTTTTCAAATGGCTGAAATGTGTCTCCATGCAATGTCACAACAAAGCAATATATACTCTTTATAGCATTAATTTTACTCTTCTTTATCAACATGGAGTTTACAAATTGCTAACATAAAAAAAGAACCTTTTTGAGCATATTTAAGTTATTATTTGGAATGGAAAATAATAATAATGTTACTTATGCATGCACGAACTCTCACTGCAGTATTACCCTGTTTTACAAAGAGGGAACACAAGACAGAGAGAGGTTATCCCTGGTCATAGAGCAAATCTCTGTCAGAGCTGAGATTACATCTAAGCAGCTCTTGTTTCTTAGTCAGCACACTAGTATACTCAGTACACTAGACCATGAAGCCTGTCATGACTCATGCATAGTCATGATTGCAGGACTTTATTCAATATTTCTTTTAAACAATTAAATATAATCATAGAATCGTAGGATTGGAAGGGACCTCGAGAGGTCATCGAGTCTAGTCCCCTGCACTCATGGCAAGACTAAGGATACGTCCAGACTACCCGCCGAATTGGCGGGTAGTAATCGATCTATCGGGGATCGATATATCGCGTCTCATCTAGACGCGATATATCGATCCCCGAATGCACTCCCATCGACTCCGGAACTCCACCAGGGCAAGCGGCGGTAGCGGAGTCGACGGGGGAGCCGCGGCCGTCGATCCCGTGCTGTGAGGACCCGAGGTAAGTCAACATAAAATACATCGACTTCAGCTATGCTATTCCCGTAGCTGAAGTTGCGTATCTTACATCGACCCCTGCCCCCAGTGTAGACCAGCCCTAAGTATTATCTAGCCCATCCCTGACAGGTGTTTGTCTAACCTGCTCTTAAGAATCTCCAATAATGAATTGCCTTGTCACCTTGTGGTGTCAGGCAGCTATTCCCAGAGAGATCTCAAAGGTTAATCAGGGCAATCCTACCTTGGCAGTCTCGCCCATAGTAGCCTTGACAGCACTTTGCAATCCAGACGACCATCGTACAATCCTGGCGACAGCCATCTAAGCTCCTGCCATAGAATTGGTATGTACACTTCTGTATCCCTCCCTAAACGTTGCACAGGGGGATAAAAACACAGGTGATTGAATGTTCTGTGGATTTATTTTTAACTCACTGTGTTTTTTTTAATGTAGAGCTGATCAAATTGACAGCCCTGGGGATCGAAGTGATCTACCTACAGAAAAAGCAAAGCATAGGCAGTAGTGGGACAAGCTTCCCTCAATATGCTTCAACCCTGATGTGATGAGACTAACTCTGAGGAAAGAGGTTAGTTCAGTCTTCCTGCCCATTTAATCTATGGCCTGTCTTCTGAGACAGCCAACAGGTAACAATAAAGGGGGAGGACACATCAGAAGAGAGCTGGCACCACCTCATTCATTTCACATGAGCCATCAGATGGTGGTAAGTCACTACTGGCTTAGACTGGATTTGAACCAGTCACCTAGAAGAGAAGGGCCTATGGGCCAGAACCTCAGCTGATGTACACTGGCCCAGCTCCAATTAAACCAACTGCGTTAGGGCAATTTACACAAACAGAGGATCTGGCCTGTAATGTTTAGACTAGGATATTCAAGCCAGTTTGCTGGAGCTCTCATTGAAGATTAGGTAGATAGAAGCAGAGAAACTTGAGAAGAAAGAGTATGCCAGTCTAAACTCTTTCTTTTTAATCACTAAAATGTCTGTAGATGAATTTAGTGCTGGTAAATGTTTAGGGTTCCTACAGTAGCAGATGCCAGACAGAATGCTGACAATGCACTTTGACCCTGTCACTCTCCTCTAGCTTGTAGGTCCACTCTGCTCACTATAACACAACCTGCCACATGTATAGAAGCATCAAGTGGTTTTTTGGTGTGCAGTATGTGCTAGGATGAGACCACCAAACTCTGTCACTTCTGACCTAATAGGATTTGATCATAATTCTTAATGGGGAAAGACTGATATGACAGTGCCTAATTCAGAACCCATTGAAGCCAATGGAAGCATTCACTTTGTCTTCAGTAGTTTTGCATCCAATCTATAACCCACTACCGACTTCAGTAGGATTGGGGTTTTATTGTTCCATTTAAACAAATGATTTCATTGTTCACAGCTCTACTGTTCTTTGAAAGTGTGTGTTATTTTTAGTTTATTATTGTGCAGTGCACAGAAGCCTGACAATTAGACTGCCTTAAAAAGGTACTCTTACCTTTGGTTTAGTCGCTGTAGGGCATTTAGGATTATTGTAACAGCCAACACAATCCCCCTGTTGTAGAAAGGGAAAAACATATTTAAAAATAAGAACAACAAAAAGCTGTTTGAAAGCACCAGAAAAGTGTCTACTTTTATATAGGCAGTTAAAATTAATGACCAGAGAAAAATACCTTTAAAAATATCCAATTTCATTACTCCTAATATAGATTATAGGAGTTTTCCAAAAGAGATAACAGAGGGAAAATAGTAAAGGAAAATGACAACAAAATAGGTACATTAATTTAACGAAATGAAAGAGAAATGAAATTTCACAGTAGAATAGTTCTGGAAGTGCAAATTTGCTACTAAGCTAAATAGGTAAGAGAGGGAGATGTATTTATCTATTTGTACATAGGCCTACATTTGCAAAAGTGACAATGGATTTGGGGTGTCTCCGATTTGGATGTCCAAACTGGGATGCTTTAAGAGACCTGATTTCAGGAAGTGCTGGGGACGCACCCTAAGCAATCCCCTTTAAGGTGACTCAAATTGATGACTCAAAACCACTAGTGGCTTTTTGGCCATATTGTATTTCTCTTTCTTTTTAGAAACTGATATGGCCCTCATCAACATAGTAAATGAGCACCTTGTGCATATGAGAGTATCTAGTTAGAGATATTTATACAAAGAGCACAAGCATCCACAGACATACCAGTTAGGATAAAAATAAGCACTAACAATCCTCCTGCTTATAGGGATCACCATATAGGGACAGGAAAAAAATCCCCTCTGTGCTATGATAATACACATGTAGATGTATTATAATAGGCGTTTACATGTTCCTGTGAAGGCATACAGCATTAGCCAGTGTTAGATTAGATGGATGATTGCTTTAACCCTACATCTAACTCAGAAAGTAATAACATCATCCTCTTATAGGTGGTAACTTTATTTGACCCTCTCAATATGCATTATTCAAAAGGGTCCAAAGAGAATTAATTTCTGCACTCTGTTCAGAGTCATATTTGTCCATAAAGGGTTTGTCTAGACTAGGAGAAGTGGCTGAAATTAGGTCAGGGTTAGCTAACATGTTTCAGCTAATCCCAACCTAACTTTGACCTTTTCCTTATCGTAGTTGCAGGTGGACCTTAGTGTATCTTTTAGGCACCATACTTCACCTTTCACTTTATTTTAGTTAGTCAAGGTCCACCCGAGGCTTCCCACCAGACAAACCCAAAGTAGCACTTTAAACAGAGTTTCAGCCCTGGAGCCAAATTCTGACTGTATTGGAATCAGTGGGAGGTTAGCCATTGATTTCAGTGGGGCCAGGATTTGGCCTACAGTTCACATCTATCTCCCCAAGGATCACAAAACTGAACTGAAGGACTGACTGACCGTGAAATCTGCAGTGATAAAATTGTCACATCGCCCGCCAAGGGTGGGGTCCATTAACATGCAGTCAATCCCGTAAGCGATGCCACCATCAAACTCCAGGTGCCGCTGCACTATCCTACACCTCCTGTCATTCAGAAAGAGGTCACCCTGAGAGAGAGGCAAGAAGATAATCACACAAAATAAGGAGCCTGCTTCACTGGATGCTTGGTTCAGTCTATGTGCAGTTCCTGTTCAGGAATTTAGTAAGAATATAAATCTTTCTTTGAAGTCAGTTCTCTCTCTTACAAAGTAAAAATTGCTTATCATTTCCAGATAGGATAACAGCATTTCCCACTGGGCTTATGCATGTAAACCCCTGTCTCTAAGGGGGGGGGTCCCAGTTTGCCATGCCCCCCAGTTAGGTGCCAGAGGGAATGGTGGACAGATGCCATTACCCATGAATCCCCTCCCCCACAAGAGTATGCTCCCTCATAACAGTCAGTGTCTCTTATTCAGTGTATTTACATATAAGGCCAAATGTTCAGAAACAGCTACCTGCAAAGTCAGTGCACCTGAGTGCAAACAGGTGATCACACACACAAACCATGCAGTTTGCACAACTTCTTTTGTGCAAGTTTGCATCTAGGCAATAATAATTTGCAGGTCCTTAGTTCTAAAATGTAGCCCATACTATACATTGTACACTTATGACTCTTCTCCCAGAGTCAACTTCACTTTGTGGGAGCTCATTTTATATTCTGATGTGTTACATGCTAAGGCCCACATCCTCAAAGGTATTTAGGGACCTAACTCCCATTGAACTGAGCTACATTTGTGGATCTGGGCCTGAGGTATTTCTCTTTTGAGGTATGTGCCAGCCAGTTATTTAGAGAGACAATTGCCTTATGATAAAGAAAATTATTCTTCAATAAGCCACCTTACCTGAAGGCAAATCACAAACCTGTGGATCTGTTTCCTAAGCCACTGCTCCTGCACTGGGATATGCTAATGGAGACCACTGTGCACATGTGGAGCACCATTAATTCCAGTGTCGCTAATTCCTTAAGGGGGCTCTGCATAGGCATAGAGGGGTTTGCACTAGTGGTTCCCAATGTAGTATCAAGGCTTATGTTATTAAATAGTACATTCCATGAGGATTCCCAATGTGCTGGTATGTTAAACACTTACAATAGAGTTGTTGTTATCCCCACATTTTACACTGAGATCAGAACCTTGAAGGGTCTTCAGAGAATTGGAGCTGGGGAGCTCACAGGCTAAAATCTGTGAAAGAAATACACAGAGTGGGAAGATTTGGTGTTGGAGAACAGAGTTTTAGCAATGCCTCTTCTAAACAAATCAGGAAATGTTTGAAAGCACCTTAGCATCTCTGATGACATGGAATCTCAGATATTGCACCAGTTTGTCCTTGTTAGATTTTTTAAACAGGAAATCCTGCTGTTCCTTAGGAAGAGCTCTGAGAGCTTCATCGGTCGGCCAGAACAAGGTGACTGGTTTATGAAGAGGATCATTGATTACACTCATCAAACCGGCATTCTGCAACATAGAAAAAACGAGACTGATTTTTTTTCTTCCTGTAAAATTACACTGTAAAGGATAAACTCTGAGAAACATGTACTGTAGCTAGGAGTGAATTGGCCCAGCAGTGAGGATGCTGAATGCATCATAGCCTTCCTAGTAAATGGCCTGTATTTTTGCCTTCCTGGGCACAAAGCCAAGATTTTAAAAAGCGGGTGTCTAAATTTAGGTTTCGAAGTCTATTCTGAAGCTGATTTTCAAAAGTGCTGAGCACCCAGCAACTCTTATTAAGGAACAGGCCACTTATTTAGATGCCTATCTCTGAGCTTAGGAGCCCATTTTTACAAATCTGGGCCAAAAAGTTTTAGCACACAAGGTGGATTAAAGAGCAGGGAGGGGATGGATCTTATGGACCCATGAGTGCTCAGACCTGCCTGCCATTCTCCCGTGTGGAAGGTGAGAGAACTGGTTGCAGGGGCTCCTCCATAGCTTGTGGGGAGGGAGCCTGTGCCCAGGGCCGGCGCAACCCATTCAGCGACCTAGGCAGTCGCCTAGGGCGCTAACATTTGGGGGGCGGCGACCGCGGTGGCCGGACCTTCGGGCCGACCCAGTCGTCGTCGGCATTTCGGGGGCGGGACCTTCCGCTGCCTCTGTCGGGGGCGGCATTTCGGGGGCGGGACCTTCCACCGCCTAGGGCGGCAAAAAAGCTGGCGGCGCTCCTGCCTGTGCCCCATTCCACACTGTACACAGCCCCATCACTGAGGCTGTGTGCCAATTTCACAAAACTGTGCCAAATGGTCATGGCCTCCTGGATTCTCTTACCTCCAGCAAGTTGCTGAACATGATGTATCCTTGTTTGGCTGCAACCATTTTAAGGCTTTCCTAGAAAGATATGAGTATTAAATGGGCTTACTTGTCTTGTCTGGGAAATAAATTGGATATAGATTTAGTAATAAGGTATTTGGCATGTTTGATCTTGTAGTTCACTTGTCACTGTGAAATCAAAGCCACCTTAAAGGTCTTATTTTAGATGCTCCCTTTACAAAGCAGAACATCTTTAATATACATTTAATGTATGAATGATTCTAATGAATTTTAAATATACCACAATGTAAAACTATTCTAATGATTCAGTGTAGGGGCTTTATAATGCCAATGCTTTTGTTGTAACTACTATGCCAAATGGTAATTGGCAAGAAACATTCCAGATTATACTGGCAGAATGCTACAGAAATGAGGTACGTACCCGCTCAGTGCCCGATTCCTTCTTAGGGAAATCCTGCATGTGTTGTGGAAGTAGGATTTTATCTATGATGTGTATCACACCATTTGTGCTGACAGTATCGCTGGATATAATCTTAGCCTTGGTATTCAGATACACTGAATTCTGAAAAGGTAAACAAAAAAAGTGTTTTCTATGGAAACGTGCAGCAGGGAAATGTTGAAATGAAAACTCTTTACCCTGAGAGGCCAACTCACTGCTTGCAATACACTTGCAACAAATAGGGCTCCAGTTTTTAGGGCTTGATCCTGCAACTCTCAGCCACACAAGTAGTCCTACGAAAATCAATGGTGCTACCCATGTGAGTAAAGATTACTCACATGAGCAAGGATTGCAAGACTGTGCCCTTAGCGGGGCAAATAGAGAGGGTGGCATTTGTGAAAACAATAAGCAATAGACAATTCTTATTTTAAATGCTATTTATTATTTTTAGGAGGAAAAGGAACAATCTAATTTTAAAAACGACAAATGAAAAGGGTCAGTTTATTATTCTAACAATTTTACCTTGGCTATCTTGTTACCTGTGAGAAAGTGACCTGGATGGGGTCCCCCTGGAGAGAGGTGACATTTGTAATTGTTGTCAGGTCATTATAGAGAAGTCCGGCACAGCCCACCACATGGTACCTAAGGATCTGGGGCATCACTCCGTTGACAATCCACTCTTTAATCTAGGGCAGGAATTGGAGGAGTTCAAAGGCAAGGACAGAATAACATACAAATCCAAAAACTCTCAGCTGCCTCACCCAAAGTCCATTGCCTTTTTCTTACTTACTTTTGGTTCACTGTTAAATGCTTCTTTACTGGGTGCAAACACAGTGAAAGGACCAGAACCTGCAATATCTTTGAGAGCAAGGGCCTGGAAAGTTTAAAAAGAACAACGCAAAAATCATTCATTAATGCACAAGGTGTCATACACTGGGCAGAATTAGACTGGATCCCATACAGGGAACCAGGCCCCATACTGTAGGCAGGGCCTCTAGATTGACCTCTGTGGCTGCCCACAGCCCTGTTCCTTGATGCCATCTGTCTCACATTGAATTCCCTTCTCCCATCCCACCACAAGTAATGTAAGACTGAGGGGAAAACTCTGTTGCCATGGGGAAGATCCCCTCCCAACTCCTTCAGTCTTACAGGATTTAAAGAGTTCTCTCTGCAAGATTTGCCTTCCCATACTCTCCCCCAGCTTCGTCCGCTGCTACTTAAGGGCACAGAGCTCTCCTGCTCTCGCTCATGTGCTGCCTTCCTTTATAACAATGGACAAGTAGTGCTTGAAAGTAAGAGAGAAAGCTGCTCTCAGCAGCGATTAATATGGAAGCAGAACGATTACAAGCTTTGCAGGGAGAGTGGTTAAATCCTTTCATCTTGAAGGAACCCGAAGGGTTTTCATATTCACATATATACACCTCTACTCCTGTGTCTTATATCGGGTCACTGTGATATAACGTGACCCGATATAACACAAATTCGGATATAACGCGGTAAAGCAGCGCTCCGGGGGGGCGGGGCTGTGTGCTCCGGTGGATCAAAGCAAGTTCGATATAATGCGGTTTCACCTATAACGCGGTAAGAATTTTTGGCTCCTGAGGACAGCGTTATATTGGGGTAGAAGAGTATATATATCCATATACTTATGTATAATCTTATGGTTAGAAACCTACAGCCCATTGCTGTAGGTGTTGCACAAACATATAGCAAGAGAGAATCCCTGTACAGAAACACTTACAATCTAAAGGATGGAGGGGAAACAAAGACACACAAACTATTCCAAGGACACAGAGCAGAGCTGGGACTAGAACTCTGGTCTCCTGGTTTAGTACCCTATCCATTGTTCCACACTGTCTCACTACCTATGTGTGCACCAAGGAATCACCGTCCTCTGAAATGTAGTCAGAACTGCGGGAGGCACAGAGCTGCTGTTTAGAAGCACCCAGCCACATCCTGCAACATTTTAGAGAGGCGGTGAAAAATACCATGTAAAATGCAATGGGAACTAGATCAACAGAATGTAGTTGCCCACATCAGAATTTGGAAAAAAGTGCCATGGGATCTCTGTCTATAGATGAGAAGGGCTTCAGTTTTGGGTCTGATCTGAAGGACACCAGTGCATAGTCCCACCAGTCTCAAAGCCATACCGGGGAATTGTAGCAGTACTGACTCAGAGGGAAAAGTGCCATTTACTGAATAACTAGCACCACTACATGCAACATTCTAGGTTTTCTGTGAAGATCTCCAATATAAGTAATAATTGACCATTTTCAGTCCTGATTACCTTGTGAGATCAGGGCTAGAGATGCTGTGGCACAAAAAACATTCAAGAATTTTCTTACCTTTAGATGGAAATAAAAATCAGTAGTATTGGAGTCCTTAAGAAGCTCCTGCAACCAAGAATAACAGCATTTTTATACTGAATTGTGTGAATTTAGAATTGTGTCTGAAGAATATTAATGAGTGCCGCCCTCAGGGAAGGAACATGCCTGGTGTTAGAAGGGGAACTTTTTGGTCTAGATGATACAGTAATTGCCTGCATTGGTACAGCTTGTCAGCTGACCTCTCACTGTAGCTCTTGTCTGGCTTGTTGTATGTGTTATCTTGCCAGTCTATCAGAAAGCAGTTGTGAGAATCGAAGAATAGCAGCATTCATGTTCCTTGCAGTGCCAGCGAGGTGTCAGGTCACTCCGTTTCCTCATATTATAGTTCTAGTCTTATTATAGAGACCCAGAGAGACAAAACCAGGCCTCAACTGTCAATATTGAAGATTACAGCGTGTTGCGGAGCAGGCATTTTGCTGCTGCTGCACAAAGCACATGCTATATTGAAAGTTAGATACAGAAACCAAACTTTACAAAAGTGACTAGTGATTCTGAGGACCTCACCTGAGACACTTCAGAGGGTCCTGATTTTCAGAAGGCAGGTCAGAACACTTTTTGAAAATTTGGTCCCTTTAAGGTGTCTCGGGTTGGGCCCTCAAATGCACTAGTCTTTTTTGAAAATCTTGTCCAGAGGTAACACTTATGGGACTAGGGAGATAAATTTCTAAATGGCATTGAAGCGAGCACACGAGGAATTCTGCATGCAGTTCTGAGTTTTATGCAACAGAAATTTGTTAAACTGGGGAAAACCCAAAAGGCAAGCAAAACTGCAGAAAGGTCTAGGAGAGGTTAAGAGAAATGAACATATACAACCTAGAGAACCGATAACTAAGAGGAGACATAACCATTCCTCCATGTCTTTGGAGAAGTAATAAAAAGTAAGGGAGGGAATTATTCAGATGACATCTTCAGGACAATCCTTGTTTAAAGGGTAATAATCAGGTCCTGGGCTAGGGGCTGAAGAGTTAATAGGCTATAAACTCTGAGGTCTTTCTGGCTATCAGAGGAAACCTTTTCCTCCCTTTCAGTTCTGGCCCTTCTATCGTCTGTGCAAGAAGGGAAGGAGCCAGCTGTGCACTCTCCAGGGTGCAGGTTTTGCCATTCTGCCTGGCCTTCATATGAACCGTATGAAGGAGCAGACGGCTCCTTGCACCTCTTTCCCCTTCCACCGTTCATCCATGAAGGGCCAAGCAGAATCTGGCCCTTTCAGAAGCACCAAGCACCTGAAGCTCCTGGTCACTTCAGTTGGAGAAGTGGGAGCTCAGCACCTCTGAAAACGAAGCCATCCTACGTATCTCAGATTGGACACCCAAAGCCCGAGTATCCAAAATTAGTGGGCACTTTGGAAAATTTAGTCCTATATGATTTATACTGAAATTCATTGGCAAAAGAGAGAATAGAACTCACAAATTCCTCAGCCCTAGTCCCATGCCAATGCCACTGTTTCTTAACAAGCTACCTGATGTGCAGCAGCGGTTGCTCTTTAAAAGGTGCCACTTCTCCCTTAGATAAATAGATAAATTTACTTCAGCATTTGCAGTACTTCCTATAGCTACTGCAGGACATACCTAGGAAATACTTGGGTAGCTGTACCTATTTCTCTATGCAAAACTGGCATGGTTTTAAGAGTGGCCACTGTTTTACATAACTCTTTGAAAAATATTCAGTAACAGTGAACACACATAAATGTTTTACCTGGTAGATGTTGCCTCGGCATTTAAATCCATCCCCAATGTAATCAGGTTTGCAGGTGCAGGTCCTCTCTGTCAGCTCGGTGTCATTACAGATTGCAGATTCACTGCAGCCACCGTTATTCTTGTAAGATTAGCAACATCAAACAAAATCAAATTAGTGGGTGTATTTGTGTTTACAAAATAATTTCAATTCATTTGCTCAAACTTCCAACAGAGGGAAATATTCTCTTTCTTATGAATAGTAAAGAAGCAGTCAAGATGAATGTAAAGATAGTTATTGACACTTAAAGCAAAGCACATTGCCAGTTTCTTTAACACCCTCTCGGTAGCTCCTCAGTTCAGTGTGATGTAACTGGCTATTGTATACTGCTACCCAAAAGATTTCTATGCAGGCCTCATCGTGGACTCCTGGGCTATGATCCTGAGCTGCCCTTCTTAGGAGGTACATCCTGAGAGGGGAAGGAACCAAAAGTGGCTCTGGGATTCTGGGTTGCAGAAGCTGCTCTAGTTTACTCCTTATGTGTCTGGTAGCCCAGAATAGCTGGAGCACAGAACTGCCACACTTGTCTTTCCTCCAACTCATTCCTGTCTCCCCTCTTCCCCACTTCCATCTGGGAGGGAAGAGGCATAGGTCTCTTAATTTGGCTTTCCATGTCCTGGGAACTCCCTTTGTTAGGGGAATTCCCCAGAGGGGAGATCTGGCTGCTCCCTGCCCCTGTTACACCCACTGAGCCAGCCCAGAATTGGTGCCAATGTGATAATCAGACTGCAAACTGGTTTACTTGTGGACAAGGGGAAACGTCTCCTCATGACAAACCAGGGAATGCTGCCAAATGAAAAATGTAGCTCATTTTCTTTTCACACGCTCATTGCTAAAACTCAGATGCCAGTCACATGGGAGCGCACTTCCACTTCGTCTGACCTCCCATTCTGAGTGGTACTGGGGGGGTCCTTCTTGAACTACCATCAGGGGTCTGGTTGGGATGGGCTCTAGCATAGTTCTCACCCTATGCAGCGCGGTTTGGATTTGTGTGCTGTTTATTTGGGTAGATCTAGCTGGACTGTTGGACAGGGAATTGAGTTTATTCAGAGCTCTCTGTGTACCTTTGCCATGGAGCACTTGGCTATATTACAGTCAGATTAGCATGCTGCACAACGTTGACAAAAGCCAACCTTCTGTAAAAACATTCTTTTAATAGCATTGTAGCCAGTGAAGTGGAAGAGAAGCTGTCAGAATGAAGCTCACACAAAAACATACGCAGCAGCTCATAAATCTGAACAACATCCCCTCCCCCTGACTTTTAATTTACATTTCTTAACTAGTCCATCTGGGCAACCTTTGAAAAAGAATCCAGTGACAGACTGTTGCCAGGTCAAGGGATGATGACTACTTGTCACGATTCTCTGGAGACAAAAGATCAATGTGTACAGGTCAGTGAAATGCGTCAGCCATCCTTAGCCTGGGATCACAGGGAGGCAGCTTTTGAACGTTGAGGGCTTTTCATCTGAGATCAATGAGCAAGTGCTTGTATGCATCAAAGGGCTCGATCCTACACTCCATATTTGGGCTCAAAGTGAATGGGAGTTTTGCCTGTGTCAGAAGTATGGGATTGGGCCCGTTGAGTAAAATTCAACCTTGTGCAGAGGGCTAGCACCAAGGCTAGGAGTCATATGGGAGCCAACTGGGGCCTAGAGCTTGTGCCAACTCTCTGCACATAATGAGTAGTTCCAAAGACAGAGGGTTTGGTTCTGCAATCCAGCTGAGCACAGGGTTGCGGTTCCCTGATTCCACATGCACAGGGAGAGCCCTAAATTACCTGAGGAAACTTACACCAGTGGAGGATCAAGCATAGCGGAGCTCTGCTCTACCATGCCTCCCTCATCTCCCTGCCCTTTCACCCTGCTCCCAGAACACTCTCAACGTGCCCTCTTCTCCCCCTTACACTGAGGGATGCACCAGAGTTAACACAAGTGAAGAGTTCCACTGCATAGGGGGAATTCTCCACCTGCCATCTCGCTACTTTAAGGCCACGTTGTGCCATTTTCAGGCCACTTAGCAGACTGGAGAATCTGGCCCATAGTACGTTATCCTGGCAGCAGATGAGCTGGCAGGAATGGAGTTGTGAGATTTGATTTGTCATCGTGGAATGATCAGTGAGACTGGCATCAGAGAAGAATTTTCGCACGTTATCATTGGAACCTGGCTATTTTATTTGGTCTTTCTTAGAAACTGCATTCACTTCTTCTAAAACCTTAGAAGTTTTTAGGTACTTCAGAAACGATGAGTAATTTATAGAATGGATTTTTAAATTTAAATAATTCCAGCAACACTGAAAAATCTGTACAGAAATAATGAAAATTATTCCTTGCATTTAACCACAAAAAAACAGTATCTCCCCCAGGATTTGATTTAAGGTTATTTTTTTAAAAATCTTGTGCACAATCTGCAAAAACTAGATTGTTCCATATTTGGGCCCCGATTCAGTAAAACATCTAAGCATATGCTTAAAGTTTAGCACATGCATAAGTGCTGTCAGCTATACTTTAAGCATATGCTTACATCCTTTCTGAATCAGGTCCAGGTGGACTACTCTACACATTTCTAAGCTAGTCTTTCATGCATACAAAACCAAAAGCATATTGGTGTTATATAAAAAAATGTAATGATGAGAATATACTTTCCTGTAAAATGATACTCACCGATAAACACAGGTTGATGTACGTGCATGTTTTACCATCTCCTGAATATCCTTTCAAACAATTACACACGGCCTACCAGGAGAAGAAAGGATCCATTTTAACACAGAAACATATGGAATTTGGTTGTAGTACCTTTTGATTTTATTTACTTTTTATTGGCTATACTTATCTGCATGGTAAAATGAGGAGAGAACAGAACTCAAAATCCCATTTTATCTTAATATCCATTTTGTAATTTTCCATTTCTCACACTACAAGCACATCATCTCTTTAGGGCAGATCCTCAGCTGATGCAAGGTGTCAAAGCTCCATTATCCTTTCTCACTTCTCCTCTGCAACCGAGGGCATCAGAAATGGCCTCTCCTTATCTCACTCCCCACAGTTTAGCTCATTTCAGATATCAGCTGAAAACACAACTCATCTCCCCCTCCTTTTAGCTGTATTATTTAAATCATTAAAGAAGTTGACCATGTTTTCAGAATAAAGAACCAGGACACTTTTGTGGGGATATTTTTGGGGTGGTGAAATACTCCCACAAAAGCACTTTAACAAATGTGTCCTTGTGTCGCTACTGCCAGCGTCTTACTCAGCAGTGTCCCGTGCATGTTTCAGTGTAGTTACACCGGGGTTATGCTTTTTGATACCTGCAATTATCACACAGCTGGAAGGTTACCATGGCTAAAGGAAATTACTTATTCTCTCTTTAAAGGTCAGACTTCATGCATGACAAGGTGGGGGAGGTAATATATTTTACTGGACCAGGGCGTGTTGGTGAAAGAGACAAGCTTTTGATCTACACAGAGCTCTGCTTCAGGACCTGAGGAACAGCTCTGGGTAGCTCGAAAGCTTGTCTCTTTCACCAACAGGAGTTGGTCGAAGAAAAGCTATTACCTCCCCCACCTTGTCTCTCTAGTATCCTGGGACCGACACGGCTACAACTACACTGCACACTTTATGCATGTCATTTTAGAATCTAGGGCCATTTAACTACACTATGCTGATGCTGTCATTACTCTGCAGTTATTCTTTTGGAGGCAGCTGGTGCATCAGAAAGCAAAACTACCAAGCAATCGCAGTGTCATGACAGGATATTCAGTGTACCTGCATTCTAAAATACACTGGGGGAAGGACAAGCAATTCAGGCATATAGCTAGCCCTCTGGTTATAGGAGTTTGTAGAAATTATATGAATCAAAAATAGTACTTCGTAAGGGTCAGTTGTGAGCCTTCTTGCACACCTGTACAGGGGAGAAAGCCTCCCCAAAGGGGCTCCTTACACTGCCTATCTGCATTGCCAGTGATTGCAGGGGAGAGGGCAGCCACTGCTGGGCTGTTACACCCCCCCCGTAAAGCTGGGCAGAGCTTTGGCACCATGCTCCCCTCACCCAATGTGCCATCCCATACATGAGAGCTGAGGCTGGGCCTGTCCGCATGGCTCCTGACCGGAGCTGGATATTTGGCCCAGCTACCCATCTGTCCTGGTGGAGGGATGACCAGGCCACATCTGAGTGGTGCCGCAACCCTGTGTGCCTACTTGGTCCCCCCCTCCACCTTTGCAGTCGTGCTGCCGCTGCTGGGCACTGGGCACCCTCATCCCCCGGGGAGGAGAGGAGCAGGGGTCACCAGGAACTCCCAGTCCCCAGGAGGGTGGGAGGGTTGGATCCAGGCTTTTGGTGCTTCCTGGGGAAGTGGAAACGCAGAAGGGGGTGGGGGTCTGGTCTGGAGCTCCCAGAACTGCCTGGTGCCCGGTGGTGATGGTGCTCTCCAGCCTGGCTGGCTCTCTGGGGAAGAGCTTGGGGTTAGGTGAGGGGTGGGGAAACCACAAGGCTGGGTGCAGGGGGAGAGCTTGGAGTTGGGAGGCAGGGCAATATGTGTGGGGTGTGGGGGAAGAGGATGGGTCTGAGTGTGGGACAGCAGGTGGGAACTGTGTGTTGAGCTGGGTGCAGTGGGGAGAGCTCAGAGCTGGGGTAGGGGCATTGTGAAGGGAAGAGCACAGGGCTGGGAGTGGGTGGCAGGAGGACAGTGTGTGTAGAGCTGGGTGCAGTGGGGAGAGCATGGATTGAGGTGCAGAGGCAGGGGAGGGAGAGCTCTGGGCTCCCTCCTTAGGGAAATTCTGGTTGCACCCCTGGCAGAGGCAAAGGGGAAGTAATCTGTGTCAGCAAAAGGGCTGATGCAGATTGCTCCAAGAGGGGAGTTAATGGGGAGCAGGAACCAGATTGTTATTCCCAGTCACTGCCTTTTTCTTGCCCTGCTCCTGGGGAAGCACAGCTATGCAGGCTGGATTGTAGAACTACCATCCAGCCCATAGCGATTACAGTAAAGTATGCAAGTAGAAGGGTAGTAATAAGTACTTCAGTCAGAGCTAATCTTCTAGTCATGTGAAAGCAGTGGTAATTACCAGGGTAAAACTTACTGCACGTTAACTGCAGAGTTAATACATCCCTTGTTGTATCTGCTTATGCATGAATCTGTTATACACTGGGAGCAGAGAGCTGGTTGGAAAGTAGGGATTTTTCTGCAGAAAATGTTGACAGAAATGAAGAGAATTTCATTTTCAACCCTCCCTCCCCCAAAAAAGTTTTCAGATGAAAACTTTGAAAAAATGAAAAAAATAGGGCCAAAAAACAGACAAAAAAAATGGTTTTGGCCGACATTTTTTGGGTTTTGGTCAACATTTTTCAGGTTTTTGGTTTCTAAGGAAAATTGAAAAATATTGAGGAAAGCAAACACTTCCCACACATGTTGTTTAGTTGAAAACCCAATTTTCTGTCCAAAAAGAAGAAAAGAACAGAGAAAAAAAAAGTGCAGTTGGAAATTTTTCAGCCAGCCCTACTCGGAGTGACCACACTAGCTACGTGAATAACGTAGCTGAAGTCGACGTACCTTAGTTCGAACTTACCTCGGTCCACACGCGGCAGGCAGGCTCCCCCGTTGACGCCGCGGTACTCCTCTCGTCTAGCTGGAGTACCGCAGTCGACGGCGATCACTTCCTGGTTCGACTTATCGTGTCCAGACAAGACATGATAAGTCGAACCCAGAACTTCGATTCCCAGCCGCCGAACTAGCGGCTGGGTGTAGACATACCCTAGGTCTTTTTAACTGTGATGAAACATTACTTACCTGGTTGGGTCCAGTCTGAGTGCATTCCGCATTTCTATCACATCCACCGTTGTTCTCTAAGCAAGGGTTGATTTCTTTATAAAACAAAAACAATTGGAGAAAACTCAGTGATTTACAAATTCTCACTTCATTGATTAGCTAAAGTAACATGTACTAGGAATGCAGGCTTGTGACAAATGCATAGGTGCCAACTCCGTGGGTGCTCCAGGGCTGGAGCACCCCCAGGAAAAACATGGGCAGCGCCCCTATCAACCCCTCTCCCTCCCCCCAGTGCCTCCTGCCCTCTGGCAGGCCCCGCCGATCAGCACCTCCCGCTCCCTCCCAGCACCTACCACCTGCCGTGATCAGCTGTTTCACGGCATGCAGGAGGCACTGGGAAGGATGGGGGGAGGAGCGAGGGCGCAGTGCTCTTGGGGAAGGGGGTGGAACTGGGTGGGGAATAGGCGGGGCAGAAAGAGGTGGGGTGGGGGTGGGAAGAAGCAGGGTGGGGGTGGGGCATTGGGGGAAGGGGTGGAGTGGAGGTGGGGTCTGGGCGGAGCTGAGGGGAGCACCCCCTCACAGATTAGAAACTCAGCACCTGTGGACAAATGTGATTCATTTAGACTGATTCTTATTGCTACCTAATGCCCTCCTTGTAAGTATCGTTCATCTTTCTCAGCAAGAGCTGTAAACATGCAGACAATATTGCTTTTAGAATGGTTCACAGTGAAGTTTAATACAGTAAGGGCTTGTCTACACTTAAAAAGCTGGAGTGTTTGAGTGTAGACACTCTCTATGGTTACGGGAGGGTTCTCCCCTCAGTGTAGGAAGGACTCCAGCTCCCCGATAGGTGGTAGCTATGTTGACAGGAGAATTCTCCCATTGGCAGAGCCCTGTCTACAGCAGGTGTTAGGTCGGTTTAACTGCATCGCTCAGGAGTGTGGATTTTTCACACCCCTGAGCAATGTCATTATAGTGACCTCATTTCTTAGTGTCGACCAGGCCCAAGTCTTTTACCCTTTCCTTGGATGGATATAGGGCCTAAGGCCTGATCCAAAGTGTCCATTGAAATCAGTGGGAGTCTTTGACTTCAGTGGGCTTTGCATCAGCCCTTTCAAGCAGTGACCTGAATGTTGGGACTCTTAGGTCTAAGGGGCAATTCACTGTTATGCTTTCAGAGGCGTCATTTTGTTTTGGAGATAGTTGAATTTTGCATTTCCTTTTAAAGTGTCTTATAGTTTGCCCCGAGGTAAGGGAGTGTGTGTGTGTGTGTGTGTGTGTGTGTGTGTGTGTGTGTAAAGAAATATATCTTTGGGGATCCATCACATACACAGTGGCCACCATGCAGTATTAACATACACAGTACATACATTGTGGAGACATCACTGTACCAATTCCCTGTCTTATGACAAGGGCCCTGATCTAGTGATCACTTACCAAGGCAGACTATTCCATCTCCAGTGTATCCAGCTGTACAAACACATACTCTGTTTCCTGGAGTCGTTTTTCTACACTCTGCTTTGACAGAACAGCCACCATTGCTGGTCTCGCATGCATCAATAACTGCATAATGGGAAACAAAAAATAAAATCAATGTGCTTCATTTTTTTAATTTTTATTATTTAACTAATCTCTGTCATGTCTACAAAGGTAAAGGAATTTAGTGATATTTCCTAGACAAACTCTGATTTAAGAGTCCATAGATGTAATTAGAATCTTACACGTATTTCTTATAAACTGCAATAGGAAAAGGGGAAAGTGCATTTCTAATGTGGAAAACAATAAGTCAGCTGTGATTGGTTCTCCATAAGTTCCCATCCTCCAATGCTGCCTAGTCTAACTACAAAGAATAAGAAGAGGGCCCTCCACATATTTCATGGGATTAAAAGGATCCTTCTAACTTTTCCTTAGTTTGGAAAAGTTTACACCTCCTGTGATGGGATGTAAACCCTGCACTGGCACTGAAAAGGAAAGGGAGCCTGAGGGCAGGTCTTCACTACAGGGGGGGGTCGATTTAAGATACGCAAATTCAGCTACGCGAATAGCGTAGCTGAATTCGACATATCGGAGCCGACTTACCCCGCTGTGAGGACGGCGGCAAAATCGACCTCCGCGGCTCCCCGTTGACGGCGCTTACTCCTACCTCCGCTGGTGGAGTAAGAGTGTCAATTCGGGGATCGATTGTCGCGTCCCGACGAGACGCGATAATTCGATCCCCGAGAGATCGATTTCTACCCGCCGATTCAGGCGGGTAGTGTAGACCTAGCCTGAGAGTGCTAGTCATATCACTTGGATGTGCTAAAGGACTTTGGCCCTGGGAGTTGTTAAACTCTTAAATGTGTCTTCTCTGGATCTTGAGGACATTCCTGTGGCTAGAATAGGCTGAAGAATGCAAAAGGGAAACCGAGGCACAGCTGCTGGAATCCCACATCCAGCCACCAAGGAGGCCTGTTGGGTGGCAACTCTGCTACACCTCCCCATTCAGAGTCAAACAGCCCTCTGTTGAAGGAGGTCAGGGTGACCCTGGCAATCTTAGACAGTCCTTGGATTACCCATTGGTGAACATGTTGCTTTTACAGTGCATAGATTTCCTTGTCACTACCAACCTAATGAGTCAGAGGCTGGGCATAGGAATCAACCCCGCCCGGCTCTTGTTTGGTAGAACTGAGCCCATTCTACTTAGCCAATGGGCTTTTCTGATAAAAACAACACTTCCACAGTATTCTATTAATGTTCAAAAACACTGTACTCACACCAGCGTAAGATGTAGTGTTTTCAACCACTGAAACAGAATATAGTGTTTTCGACATGGACAGCCCTACCAGATCACCCAGCCTGACTGTGGCAGAAAGTCCCCATCAGGAGAGAAATGAAGGCCAATATAGCATAAACATAAGGGTCTCAATACATCTAGGTTTTGCAGAACTTTGGCTATTCAGATAGAAATTCTTGCCATTTTCTCAGTTCTCCCAGATTTTGAGCTGTGCTGGGTGGTGCAAAGGTGGGGAGGGAACCTGTGCAAATTAGAGCAGTGTAACAGCTGCTTGAATTTACACCCTGCTACTCATGGCGTCAACGAGCTGTTCCAGTAGCTAGAATAACCAGACCATAGTGGACTGGCAACTTGGCCCATAACTCCTTTTTCTCAGGAAAGTCCTTACACCAGGGGCCAACAGTAAGCGGAATAGAGCCTTAGGCTGGTTCTATGCCCCCTAGATGCTGCCTACATATGGGGAATTTCCCAGTAACAGATTAAACTGGCTGATTTGTGCTGCTAGGGTGTTGCAAAGCAGGGGTTAGAATTTGGCGTCAGGACAGTGCTATCCAGCGTGGTTAGACAAATACTCCATTGTTCCAAAGGGCATTATTTTAATCAGATAAGGATTAGGGAATTAATTACGCACACTGCAGACGGAAACAGTCTGTTTCATAAATCTGGATTTTCCACGCTTTCCAAAGAACACCTGGGATTAACTGCAATTGCCCCTTTCTTAGGCTAGCCATAGAGCAGTTTTAGTTAATCACCGCAAATTTACATCAGTTCAGAATTCAGAAAATGGACAAAACCACAGGACTAGCCAGAAGTGCTACCATACCTCCAATCATTAAACTGGGTCAGAAAAAAAGAACAGACATAATCCAGGTTTCACTACTCCAGAACTAACACAGCTCGAGTTGTACACAGTATGTTCCCTCTTCCCGTTCTTTCCCCTTAGCACAATATACTGTATCTAAGGGATTTCTAGTCCTTTGTTTTTCTGAAGCTGCACCTGTTGCAGTCCATTCATTTTGAACAAACTGGCAGCAAGTCCTCTTTTCACTTCCTGTGTGGAAACGTGCATCTCTCAACAGCTCTTCTGTTTCACAGTGAACACCAAGTGCTTCAAGCACATTCTTTGAATAGGTAGAAAACAAAGCCCACTTGCCTGTACAGTGTGTTCCATTCCCTTTAAAGCCAGCTGCACACTTGCAATATGCGGTGCCACCAGACTTGAGGAGGCAGCTAGAATGGAGAAAGGAGGAAGGTGGTATATTAGAAATCATCACGTGCTCTGTATTGTCATTGCTGCTCTACTGTATCTTTATTATGATTATTTTTTGTAATACCATGGCGCCTCGGACCTCATTGTGCTAGGCGCTGTACAAACGCAGAACAAGAAAACGGCCTTGCCCCAAGGAGCTTGCAATCTAAATATTAGACAAGATCCAACAGATGGATACGGGGAGTAAAAAGAAACAGTGAGACAATACTGGTCAGCATGATAGGTAGTAGTCTCAGCACACCAGTGGTCTAACCATTTTTTTTTGTAGGCAGCACAAAAAGGGAGAGATTTAAGGAGGGTTTTGAAGGAAGATAAAGAGTGAATTTTGCAGATATTTATGGGGAGCTTCTCCTGAGTGTGAGGGGCAGCCTGGAAGAAAGCACAAAAGTTGTTCACAGGTGGGTGATGGAGGCTTGCACAATTGGCCAATTGAAGCGGGGAGTCAACAATGCAATTGAGTGCAATTGAGTGCAATTGTATGACAGGGTTACTTGTGATGGTAGAAAGAGGGCTCAACAGCTCTGGGGCTCACTTCTGCTTTATATTTTATGTTCCTAAGGGTATATCTACACTGCAATAAAACACCTGCAGCTGGCCCATGTCAGCTGACTTGGGTTTGCGAGACTCGGGCTATGGGGCTGTCAAATTGTGGTGTAGATGTTCCAACTCAGGCTGGAGCATGAGCCCTGGGACCCCACGATGGGGGAGTGGCCCAGAGTTTGGAATGTCTACACCTGAATGTCTACACCACAATTTTACAGCCCTGCAGCCCAAGACCCATGACCCCAAGTCAGCTGACACAGGCCAGCTGTGCGTGTTTAATTGCAGTGCAAACAGACCCTATAGCTCATGCTTCAGGGTTTCAGCCAGCCACCTGCAGGGGTCAGAAGGGGATTCCCCCCTGCAGTGTATTCTGGGATGACTTTTTGACTCCTTCCTCTGAAGTATCAGGGGGCCGTGGCTGGAGATGGGACCTTGGATAGGGAGGGCTTAGGGTTGCCAGGTGTCAGGTTTTTGAACGGAAAGTCTGGTCAATAGGGGACCTGTGCAGTGTTCGGTCAGTACTGCTGACTGGACACCAAAAGTCCAGTCACCTCAGTGACTGGCCTCCACTGCCGGAAGGGTGGGAAGAGCAGCTGCTGCTGGAGAAGCTCAGCTGATGGACTGGAGAGAAGCTTAGGAATTGGCGTCCAGCTTCGGCGGAGAGGAGGTAGGTACCACTTTTTCAGCCAGGTGGCCCAGGCCCTAACTCTCTCTGGCTCCTCACTCTGGGGATGACCCCCGACCTGCCATGTCCCAATTGCCCCAGCCCCTTGCTCTGGGGATTGACCGCCCTCTTCCCTGCTGTGCCCCAATTGGGCAAGCAGGCAGGCTCCACAGCGTGTGTGTATTGTAACGGGAAAGAGCGAGAACAGTAAAGTAGGGGATGAGAGTAGGCACAAGGGAGATCAGGAGATGGGACAGGAGAGGGTCACTGGGGCAGGTGTATCTGTGACAGGGGAGGAGGAGAGAGAGTTATAGGAAGGGAAGTCAAGCCAAGGGGATGGGGAAGATCATGTTGTATTTTATCAATTTTCTCTTGGAAGAAATTGGTGAAATCCTGTGCAGAGAGAGAAGTGGAGGCAGGAGGAGAGGAGGGTTTGAGGAGTGACTCAAAGATGGCAAAAAGGTGGCTGGGGTTGTGGGCGTGGTATTGAATTAAGCTGGAAAGTAAAGTTGTTTATCAAGGAAGATGGCAGAAGTGAGGGAGGAGAGAATAAATTTGTAGAGGAAGAAGTCAGCTCAGTCACAGGATTTCCAGCAGAGATGCTCTGCAATATGAGAACAGAAGTTGAGGAAGTGGATGCTGGGAATGATCCAGGACTAGGGGCTGACAGAGCGGACCTTGCAATGGGAGAGAGGCAAAGAAGTCAAGGGTGAGGAATGGAGAGAATCAACAGCCCTGTCAATGGCAGAAAGGAAAGAGAGGGCAGGGAGGAGATGGCTGAAAGCAGATGAGAAATCATCAGTCCTGATGGACTGGAAGTCACAGAATGGCTGAGGGATTGCGGGGGGGGGGCTGATAGGAAGGAGTTGGGTGGACAGTAGATGACAGCAACATGGAGGAAGACAGGAGAGAGAGTTGGGTGCAGTGCTGTTCAAAGGAGGAGAAAGAGTAGGAAGGGGAAGGAAGAAGGGGGTTAGCAGGGGCAGGAATGGAAGAGGGGAAACCTAACACCCCCACCACTGTCTGATCCAGGGCAGGAAGTATGAGTGAAGGAGAGGCCTCCATAAGAAAAAGGCAGCTGCAGAGGCAGTGTCAGAGCCCTGGACCCCTTCATCTGCCAGAGCCAGGAACTGCAGGGAGCAAGATATACAGAAGTTGTGATTGGCTGTGATGTTTTTTGGAGAGATGGAGTGGGCATTCCAGAGACAGCAAGAGAAGAGGAGGAAGGGGCATGGATGGGAGGTTAGGAATGATGACTACCGATGGACAGAGGTGGTGGCAAGGATTGGTATGGGAATGGAGAGGGTGGAGTTGGAGGGAGGATCAGGGCTGGAGCAAACATCACCAGAAATGAGGAGGCAGAGGAGGGTCTGGATGTGGGATCTGGATCTGGGCTGGTGGGAAGAGGAGAGAGATCAGGGTGGAAAGGGGAAGAAGGGTAGGTAGAGTTGGTGGGAACTGTAGAGGAATGATGTAAGAAGGATGGGGAAATGGAATCATTGAGCAGGGGAGGGAGAGGGAAGGAGAAGGAGGACAGATACGATGATGCACGGTATCTTTGACTGTAATGCTCGCAAAAAACAAATGGACATGCAACCTTGAAAAAGGACCTAGTTATAGTAAAGCTATCAATTAAACTGCAAAGTGCCAAGACTTTAAAGGAACTTCATCCTAACCTCTAATTTTAGGCATCTAGAACTTCTGCTGTTTACACACACACTTACTATCTATATGCGTATCTAGCAGTTGCATGTCCGTATACCTGATTTTTGTGCATAAGTGCCCTTGTTTGGGACACTAGAAATGTAGAGGTCCCAAATTGGATAACCAACATTTCATTGCCTCTAATTAAAGTCTACTTTAGAAAATTTAGTCCTGTATGTGTAAGATAAAACTGTGATGAACTAGCATGTGTAAGCAGGGTCTGAATGAGCTCTCCCCGGACATCTAGTGATGCACTGGGGGAAAAGACGTCAGGAGCAGACTGTAGTTGCATAGACACATCTGCTCTGCCTAGGTGTTCAGCAGACGGATCTGCTTTGCCAAACTGATCAATTTTGGCTGGTTTGGGATTACAATTCACTTTCATATTGAATGCAGGGTGGGAAACAGATGCAAAGGGCACTGCCCAATGTATTGTGGGATGGGTGTTTGCTTATGGTTCTGTGCTTTTGAATTATGGTTGTGGTGTTTTCCTAGATTAATGCTAGGTTCCCTCTCCCTTTTAATAAACGTTTTCTTTTGGTATACACAGACTCAGTACTTGTGATTGGGAAAATATTGCCTCTTAGAGGTGCCCAGGGATTTCCCCAGATTACTGGGTGGGGCTTGAGTTGATTCTGTTTTGGATTGTTAAGAGGCGGCTTTTGTTGCAGCCAACTCCACCTGGCAGAAGGCTTATACAAGGGTAGATGGAATTCTGCTCTTGTAATCACAAGCTGGACCATCACTCTGGTATTGTGCTCCTCTAACATGCGTGGAAATTCAGTACATCAATTCAAATTCAACACATGGAGGCACAGGCACCGTCTTCCTCCTTTCCCCGGGGGTGCTCAATCCCTGCTTTGCCCCAGGCCCTGCCCCCACGCCACCCCTTCCCCCACAGCCCCACTCTACCCCGCCTCTTCCCGCCCCCACCCTGCCTCTTCCCGCCCCTGCCCCTTCCTGCCCTGTTCCTCCACCTCCCCCAAGCGCTCCACGCCTCCACGCCTCCCTCTCCCCCTTCTCCTCTCCCCCTAGCGCCTCCTGCACATCGCTGAACAACTGACCGCTGGTAGGGGGTAGGCGCTGGGAGGGAGGCAGCGGAGTTGATCGGCGGGGCCGCCGGTGGACGGGAGGCACTGGGGGGGAGGGGGAGGATCTGATCAGTGGGGCTGCCAGTGGTGCTGAGCATCCACTAATTTTTTGACATGGGTGCTCCAGGGCTGCACAGAGTCGGCGCCTATGCATGGAGGAAGGATAGACTATTATAGTCAAACTCTGCTGTCCAGATCTTAATATAACTTTGCCCTAAAGTCTTATTAAATGGTAGAGCTATAAATAGCAGATGGGATAAATATTTAAATGGAGCTGCCAGCAAAGAAGAAAATCAGATCATTGTAGGTGTTTGGGGCTCTCTGTTCCTGTTTTCCTGATCATCTTATAATACGCAGTCAGCACATAAGAGGCGAACTTCCAAAATATCTTCTGTGCTCTCTGAAAGTCTAAGATAAGGTAGCCAGCATCTCCCTGGGTGTATAGTGGCAGGCTGGATTCCTTACAGTAAAGCCCAGATTTCTAAAGGAATTTAGGTATTGCTCCACTCACCATTGCAAGGCTTAAGTGATATAGGCTATGTCGATACTATGCAGCTTTTAGCAACACGGCTGTGCTGCTACCACTGTGCCGCTAAAAGGCGCGCAGTATAGCTGTTGTTTGTCGGCAGAAGAGAGCTCTCCTGTCGACAAAAAACGCCCACTGCTAATGAGCGGCGTTAGCATTGTTGGCAGGAGAGCGCTCCTGCCGACAAAGTGCTGTTCACACCGGTGCCTGTCATCGGCAAAACTTTTGTCTTTCGGGGGCGGAGGGGAGAAGTGTTTTTTAACACCTCTGAACGACAAACGCTTTGTCTTTCACTTGCCAGTGTAGACAAAGCCTTAGACAGCTAAGTCCTATTTTCAAAAGTGGCTTAGGCACTCAGGAGCCCAAGCCCCATTGACTTTCATAAGATTTAGGCTCCCAACAGCTAGATTCACAAAAGGACTTAGGTGCCTAACTGCCACTTTAGGTGCCTAAATCCCAGAATCAGGACCCACTGGGGTTCACAAAACCCTCGCTCAGCTGCCACCTAACCCTGTAGACACCGAAACTTGATCAGTGCCAACATTAAAGTAAAAGTTCCCTAGGTACCTATGTCTCTGCAGCCCTATGCTGGGTTTTTGGACACCTAAGCCCCTGTGTTCTTCATGAACCTTCAAGACAGGTGCTCCTCTCCCTAACTCGCCTGCGGGGCCCAATCCTATAGGCATGTTTAGAGGCTGCATACCAGATCAGGCCATGCAGGCAAGCTCACAGAAAACAGTGGGGGGTGTGAGGAAGAGGCAGTGATCCTTTGTAACTTTTAGCCCAGCGGTTAAGGTACTCAGCTGGGATGTAGGAGACCCCTGGCTCAAGTCCCCCTTAGGGGGGGAGAAGGGATTTGAACAGGGATCTGCCAGTGCTCAGTTGAGTCCCCTGGTCACTGTGCTATAGATTATTCTGAGGCAGGGCTGTCCGTAATAATGGGAGTCATTGGGTCAGAGAGAACGTGTGGGAATGAATCTGTAGCCTGGTGGTCCACTGGGAATCCCAAGATCCAGTCTCCCAGCTCCAATGACTTTTTAAATGACTTAATCCACAGTGGAACAGCCTCAACAGGAGAGACTGAGGTAGCGCTACCTCAAAATATCCCTTAGCCCCGTGGTGAGGGCACTCACCTGAAAGGTGGCAGAGCCCTGTTCAGATCTCTTCTCCTTAGCAACAGTGGGGGAAAGGGGTGGATCGATCACATTCCAGGTGAGTACCCTAACCACTGGGCTAAAAGTTATGAGGGAGGTGAGCCTCCAGCAAAGGTACCTAATGCCAAGAGAGGGTTTGCAACTGAGGACCACAAGCAGAGGGAGGTGTATCTCTCCAGCCTGGATTTAGGCACTGAGCGGGGCAGGGCTTGGCACACACCCAGGGGCATCTCCCATTGGCTAGCTTAGGCAGGGAGCCATCTAGGATGGTGACTTTTTTGAATTCCATTTTTAGACAGCTGTCTCTCCATATATAGGACTATAACAGGGTTTAAAAGAGAACTAGATAAAGTCATGGAGGTTAAGTCCATCAATGCCTATTAGCCAGGATGGGTAAGGAATGGTGTCCCTAGCCTCCGTTTGTCAGAGGGTGGAGATGGATGGCAGGTGAGAGATCTCCTGATCATTACCTGTTAGGTTCACTCCCTCTGGGGCACCTGGCATTGGCCACTGTCGGCAGACAGGATACTAGGCTGGATGGACCTTTGGTCTGACCCTGTATGACCATTCTTATGTTCGTATGTCCACATTCATTGGATAGGGAGCCAAGCACTGAACTCAGGCTCGGTGAATCCCAGTGATTTTCTAGGTACTTAAAAGTTAGGCGTGGTGACGCTCAGTGCTAAGTTCACTTTCGAATCTAGCTCCCAAGTGCCTATGGCATGTCTGAAAACAGGATGTAGCTGTCTAATGACTTAGACCTTGCAACACTGAGCCGAGCAATGTGTAAGTACCTCTAAAAAATCTGGGCTTAACTGCTTAGGTTTTGGTCGAGACTTGCTCCTTTGGAAATGTCTTTTCTCTGTTAATGTGTGGATACTGAACTTTTAAGGTTGGCCTGTCACTACTATATTATCTTTGCAAAGTGCTGCAAAACTGTGCTAAAAATGGGAAGCATAGGAAGTGATCTAAACTTGGACAACTAATTATTGAACAAGACAAAATAGGAGAATATTCGCAATCTGTGTAGACAATGGGGAAATATGGAACATAAAAATGAAGAACATTCACTTCATACGACGAGAATGACTCTCAAAGTGGCCGGATTTCATACATACTTAGCGCTGGTGTGGCACGTGCTGTTACAGGCATCATCTTTGATTTCTGGAAGAGACAAAATGAACGTTTATACCCTTGCAAGTCAACATTCTAAAACTATAAGTTTCTTTACCCCTTTCTGTGGTTTCAAACTCTTCCCCTTCATTTTCCTTATGCAAGGTCAGCTTCTGTCATCCTTGAACTAAATAATGCCTTATTGCCCAACGAAATCCCCGGGAATGCTTGGAGTAAGGGACTGCCCAATGTGAGTAAGGGTGAAAGTCTTCCCTGTGCATAGGTCACCACAATGTGTATGCTATGCACCCCTGACGTCCTATTTTGGGAGGTACATGGGATGAAAGTGATGCACCTGACTAGGGTTGCATTTCATCCCTGTCATTTTACTTATTTAAAAAAAACGTAAAGACAAACTGTTACCATAATTGTTATATAAGCAGTAAAAGTGACGCTACTAGAAATACGACTGAAAGGTGCACAAAGGCATCAAACCAGTGTAAATTATGGGTTACAGTACATTTACATACTGATGTTACAAAAGTCATCAGTGATTTATCTCTACACAGTTCTGCCGACTTGGCCCATCCTCCCTCAGGCAGTTCCACTGCTAATCTAAGATGGGGAAGAGAGCTATACTCGTTCTTTTAATTCTTCTATTCTGCCAAGCCTATTTCACAAGCCTAACTGTGAAATGCAGCTATTGGCTTCATTATCCCAACTCATTGTACCTAATTTCATTTCCCCATTTTAAATCTCACCCTAAAATCTCTCTCTTCTCCCCCTCTACCTACCTTGGGGTAGGATTCACCTCTGTGCAGAGAGACAGCACAAGGGCTATGCACCACTCAAGGGCTATTTAAGCCCCCAAAATAAAGCGTTAGTGAGACTTAAGTGGCACATAGGCCTTGTACTGGCTGCTGAACAGGGGTATTTCACCATTAGTGTATTGATGTTTTTCCTTAGCTCAGTATTGCATCTGCATCAGGAGCTTCTGGGCACTGGTTTTTGTCTCTTCAGTGCCTGTTGTTTTGTTGAATATATGATTATTTATTGTGTTTCCTTTGTATGTCTTGTCCAGTGCCTTGCTATTGAAGATACTCTCTTTTATCTAACCTGTGAATTTTATATAGCATCTACCACTTTGGTTTCCAGGCAATGATTTGTGTTGCATGTGAGGTCACAGTTAAGCATGCAGGCTGGGGTTTGCAAAGGAGCCCAAGGGAATTAGTTGTTCAAATCCAATTGAAATTCTAGGGGAATTGGATGCCTAACTACTTTGGGCCCCTTCTGAAAATTCCAGCATAGTCAGCTTTCTCTTCTAGGCCCTGGTCTTATTCCCCCATCAACTAATTAAAAACAACTCTTATGTACTTACAAATAAATAATTATAAAGCAATATGTAATATGATATAGCTGAAGCCAATTTATTGAAGGAGTTGAAGGGGAATGGCTCTGCAGAACAACTCTGCTCTGGAAATAGTACAAATTTACAGCAAACGGGAATTTCATTTTGAAAAGATCCTGGATGAACTAGGTATAGGCAAGCAAAGGGATATATTTAAGTGCGAAGCTTGTCAATTGGGTTGCATGATTCTCCATTACTATTGATGGCTAATCCCTTCACACAGGTCTTTCCAAAGACATTTCTTTCACAGTCAGGCTGAGGGTCTCATTGCCTTTCTGTAGCCTTGGGAG